TATATAACATCCTCAACCTCATACCCAGTGTACATCTCCCTTTTTTAGTGCCTCCACTTCTCCTGCAGATGTTATCATGTGTGTTTGTTGCTGTCAGCCCCTCACTGAACAAATCTTGAGGTTACTAAGACTCCTTTCTGTCACGTGAGAACAATGGGTGTCATGTGTACTTTAAATGTGCCATGATTGCAGAAATGTTTCCCAGGCTTTCCCCATGGGTCAGGGCATGGTGTAAAAAGTGATGTTTGCCTACCTTGCAAGAGGTCAAGATGTCCAAGCAGAACTGTGTTCACATATTCAGCACCATAGAAACTTACTTAGCACTCTCTGGGTTTGAGTGTAACATGTAGTTTTTATTTCATTGATGATAGGCTGTGTTATTATTTTTTTTTTCTGCACAATTTGCAACCAGATTAAAATATAGAATTAATAAAAGCCATTCCATGTCCCGCATTGGCCATGTAGCTCCAAAAACATCCATTTTATAGGAGCTAATAATGTTCATCAAAATCTCTATAGCCACATATTGTTCCAACAAAGAAATGCTTTTTCTTAAGGTAAGGATGGGGCTGTAGTTCTTTCACTTTACCAGGAATTTTGCATCTTGCAAAAAGAGATGCTAACATACTGAAAGGATCATTGATTGGCATTAAAACAAAAGAACTCTTGGTAAATATCCCTCCATATATGTTAAAATCCATATAGCATTAGACAGCATTAAAAACTATGCTTAAATTTCTGAAAAATATTTGTGTTGCTCATCACAACTGGTGGAGCAAAAAATCGGCAACAAATGGCTTGATTGCTTTCATTTTTTTAATTATTCTTTCCCAAAAAATAACAACTTGTGATTTGCTGGCCCAGGATTGTGCCACTGCTCAGAAGATAATTTTATCTTTCCTGGAATATGGTGCATGCCTTATCTTAGCATTGCTAGAATGGCAGTTGTCAGAGATTTCCTTTTAAACTTTACAGAGTTTACATGTGGATTTTAATGGAGAGAGGAGCAGGCAGGAGATTTGATATACTCTGTCTTTGTGAGTCAGGAGAGATCTCTGTGCCAGCTGTTGGCTGTGTGAGAGGCCTGAAACCTGGTGGACAGCCACTGTGCAGAGCAAGGTCTTCACTTGCTACTGGTGCCAGATTAATGACAAAGCATTTTGTGTTGTTACATTTATATAATTCAAAGTAGTTACAGAATTTTCAATGGGGGGAAAAAAAACCCCAACACTTTTGTCTCCATTATCAAGAAATTTTCCTTTTCCTTATTGAAAAGCTGTAAGGACCTATCACCACACGTTATCTTCTAAAGTAAAACCAGTCTCTAGTTGTTATGTGTGAGCACATATAGCAGGAAAAGTCTTAATGTGTTGTAAGTGGCATAAAATCATCCCTCAACAAAATGTACTGCAGAGGAGAGGTGGTTTCCTTGGTAATTATGCTGAGTTCCTTGTATGACATCTGTTATCCCTTCAGGACTGTTGTTGCCATTTGTACTTCATTGGGTTTTTCAGATGAAGAATTACCTTTTTTTGGCCATGTGCTGTTTTTTAATATCTTTTGGCTATTTGTCATCTGGGATGACTTATCTGTGTTAATCATAATAGAAAAGAAACATGGTAAGATTTTGATGATGCCTTCCAGAGTAGCAATTAAAAATTTGTCAGAACACTTCTAAAATAATTAAAACCTTTCCTGCTAAAATTAGGCTTTTCTGGAAACATGAACCCTTAGGCCTGGTGCTCCAGGCAGCATAAGTAGCTCAGGATTAAGCTTTAAAAATATCTGAATGTCTTGACAATTGAATTTTAAAGAATTAGAAGTCTGAGAGTCAGATATCTCTAAGGCTGTACAAACCACAAGATCCTTAGAATGTGTTTGTAGGACAGCTTTTATTTGTAGGCAAACCTTGAGAGCTTCAAATGCTTTTTTTTTCCACTCCCCCATTAGTGCAGAGAAAAGATGATGGATATTACTGGGCTTTTGGCAAGTTGCAGTCTGCTGGGATTGATGTGTTAAATATCTTTGCTTTAATAAAATACTTCACTTGGTTAAGTGCTCATGTTAAAGAGCTAGGAGGATTTTGAAAATGTAGGTGAGCTGTGGACTCATAAGCTGTGAAACTTTGAAGTTTAAAAAAAAAAGGTGGGGGGTTTGAGGGTATAATCTGTCAGTTCTTTACCCCATTTTTCTTGATAAACAGTTAAATTACAATTTCTATTGGATTATAGTAATTTGCTTCCAAAAGTTTTTGTTTATCATATTTTTTTCTCATCTTCCACAAGAGACTCCTTTAATATGTCAGCCAGCCTATAATATGTCAGATTTCTGCTTAGGGACAGTAGGGAACCACACAGGGCATCGACGTTCAGGAGTGACTTTTGCTTTATGGATCATCTCAAACTCATCTGGAAGAATTTGTAAGGTGTTGGGTGTATTTTGTTTTCGTGTTCAGCAGTTACCAGAGATGTTGCTATGGGCTTGTAGTGCAATAACAGTTGATGTTTTATTCTAGATACCTTCATGTAAAAAGACTTTAAGGTGGAGAGCTACTAAAACCAAAATCACTGTTGAGAAAGAGAAGTACTACCTTCCTTCAAACTGGCAGGTGTTCATGCTCCCCAAACTCTGATCCTGAGTCCATCTGGGAACGTGTCCCTCTCCTTTACTGACAGGCAGAGAAGTTTATGTATGAATTGAAGACCAAAGATCAGACTATTTTCAACACTTCTGCCTTTCTTTTTAGCTTATAATTTTGTTCTTTGTGTTCCACTTCATCTCTTTCTCCTTCTTAGTGGACACAGCCTTTTCTCTTCTCTGATGTCCCTAGGGAGTAGGAATAACCCCAGTGTGTTCAAAAGCGAGGGTGCTTTCTGAGCCCCGTCTCTCTGTTCATGTCACTCTTGATTTTTTTAAATTTGTTTTTCTGATATCTTCAGGGAATATTTGAACAACCAACCATGGTTTATATTGCTTCATCTGTTTCCATTGATGAAAATGTCTCCTGATTGCAGATCCAAATTTTCTAATCTTTGAGTGGCTAATAGTCTTTCTAATCGTAGACTTTGTATTAGACAAGGTTTTTTTAAATGGAATATATTTTTCCAGGTCTTCGTACTTATTTCTTTCTCACCCCTTTCTCCCCATGTGCAAAAATGTAACCTGAAGTCATAGCGATATTCTTAGTGCATAGCAGTGAGTGTATGAAAGCCCACCACCTTAATTTACATTTCAATTGTTCACTTAATTTCATAATTAAAGCTTAATAATAATTTCATTTAAGCATAATTTCAAATTTACGCATAATTTCAAGCTTAATTACATTTTGTGTATTTTGTGACTTTTAAAAATTTTTTTTTACTCCTTCAACTTGGTCAGAATCCTAGCATTATTTGGCCAATGAAAAGTAAATGTCAAATGAAAATTTGACTGGCTTAAAACAGAAGTACTCCAGGGGGCAGCTTGTCTTACTGAAAATGAAGCCAGAGGCTGTCCAGAGAGGTTTTGCAGTTTCCAAGCTTGGAGGTACTCAAAAGATTCCTGGGCAACCAGCTCTGGGTGTCCCTGCTTGAGCAGGGGATGGACCAGGTGACCTCTGGAGGTCCTTGCCAACCTCAATCATTCTGTGATTCTCCAGAGATTTTCTCCATGTGCATGGGGGGAAAGTTCTGTACCCTTCATTCCTTTCAAATAGCAGCTATTTGGCAGGTACTATAATGTATGTAAGTATGAACTAATGGGCCTGGAACATTAATGTTTTCATAGGGCACAGTCTTATGGGTGCCTAATTGAGATTAAGTATTTACCTATGTGCTTTAAGTGTCTTAATTTCTTTTTTATCCTGGACCATTACCAAGTGTTCATTAGTGTCTATGACAGAACCTTTCTAACTATCACTTCACTAAAGTTCTTAAAAGTATTATTATTTCACTGTATTTAAATGAGTGTGAATCCTAGTCTGTGTGTGCTGTGCAATATAGAAATTGTTCTGTCCTGAGCAGAATGGAGTGAGTTGTAAGAGGTAATCTTACTGTTCTGCAGAGGACTGGAAGAGAGGAACTGGTGTGCTACAAGAAATCGGTGCTCATGGTTAGGATGCCTGGAGCCCTCATTCATGGTTGGATGCAGTGATTATGTAGAGAGCATAATTTTCGGGGTTAATGTCATATAAAGATTACCCTTAAGTAATCCCCTAGTTAAGAAGTGAGGGAAGATGTGATAAAAATAGAAAAAATAATAAAGTAAAACCAAATCTTCTAGTTTTAACTATCAAATAGTCTTTGAAATGAAATATCCCCAAACTGGGGTGAACCTGTGTGAGAAACAAGTTGGATTCGCTTGTGGAGATGTACACTGGCAAACAAAGAAAAAGTAAGGTTGTTGTTATTTGAATATGAGTGTGATGGATCCGGAGCAGGGTGCGAGCTGTGCCCGAGCCGGAGCAGCAGTTCCGCAGCGCAGCACTGGAGGGCTCCGCAGACTGACGGCTGCGGGCGGATTTGAGGGAATTGCTGCATTGTACCTGCGCAGGGTTTAATGCTTGCCGGGCCATTTGGCTATTTGCCATAATTGGCTTTCCATTCCCTTGATTGGAATCATAGATAAAAATTTGCTAATCCACTTTCTTTGCTGAAAGTATTAGAAAAGTAATCCATCTTTTAAAAATGCTCGAACAAAATCATGTGGTATAAAGAGTACTTTATGGAATAATGAGATTAATGAGAACTGTAAGGCATATGCAATTTAAAACGTTTTTCTATGGGTTTAAGGGGAAAAATGCAATCTGGGCACTATAAAGCCCTAAGTACTTCCTTTTTTTATGCACTATCTTTTAAATGTGCATTACATGTTACCCTTTTGTCTACATGAATAAGATGGGAGTATGTATTTAGGAAGAAGGATCTGCTATTTATTTGTAATTTAAAAAATGTTTTGAAAATACCAGATTCAAACTTCTTGGCTGTGTTTTTTTTCCTCCCTCTCCCCTCTTCTGCCCATAGGGCATCAGAGCACGGATTTTGGAAACCCTTGTAATGCTCATTCTTCTTGCACTGCTTATCCTTGGAATCGTATGGGTGGCTTCAGCACTCATAGACAATGATGCTGCCAGTATGGAGTCTTTATATGGTATGGAATGCAAAAGAGCCTTCATTCAGTTTCATTGTAAATACAGAAATGCAGGTTTCCCATTAAATGTATTTCTAGTATGTGCTGTGTGAATATTGCAGAGGTCGTGAAGGTGTCTTAATTCAGTCAGCACCATTTTGATGTTAAATTCTATGACATAAGTAGCCTCTTGGTAATAAGCTAAAGCTGTGCTCAATGTTTTCTTTACAGACCTCTGGGAATTCTACCTCCCTTATTTATATTCTTGTATATCACTGATGGGATGCTTGTTACTTCTGTGTAAGTATTTTCCTCATTATTCCAAAAGATGAATGATATTATGGTGGGAGATTTTTGTGTATTGTGTTCAATTTTTTTAATGGTTAAAGGAAACTTTTTGGTTGTGAAAGTTGAGTGGGATTTTCTTTTTCTGATTAAATTTAAGTTTAGGTGTGAATTTTAGGTTAGAGTTCTGAAGTTTAAATAAATGGTACCTTATATTTTCAGTTTTTGACAAACTTTGCACCTCACTCAAAACACGTTTGACTTCTAACTTCTTAAAGCAGGTAGTTGAAAAATAGGGACTCAATTCTGCAAAGAAAAGCACAATTTTTAAATTAAATGTCTCCAGGAGGCCGGTAGTATGGTGAGAAAATTATTTTGGAACATTTTGTCCTATATTCAGTAAACTACCATTCTTCCTTTTGTAATTGAAAATGTTGCTGTATAGGCAGGAATTGGAAGACAGTGCAGCCAGCTTTCATAATCACACAGCTGGTCTCTGGCCAGTCTGCAGGTCAGTTACACAATTGCATTTGAAATAAATGCAGTAAAACCCCAACCTTACACTGACTGCTCCTAACCAGAGTTCAGTCATCCATGTTTAGGGGAATAAGAAACATGATGGAAGGCTCCAAATCCCACTTACAATCTCAGCCCCCTCCTTGAATAATTTCTGGAAAATTGCTGAGAGGGACAGAACATCTCCCTTTCTAGATGACTATGGTTTCATTTCTTCTCCAAGCTTCACAGGTTCAAAGCTTACATGGGGCTGTCAATGTGGAGAAAGAGTGGGGAATGGTAATTTGTGTTACCCTTTAAACAGATCTGTGAAAGAGACCTTGGTGAGTCTCCTTAGGTTCTCTGTATTTACAGATTCTCATATCCACTTTGGAGGAAGGTGGGAGGATTTAACAATATGCTTCTCAGTATCTCATGCAGGCTGTTCCAGAGTGGCATCACAGACGTGCTGAACACTTTAATGGGAAATTGGTCTACAAAACTTCAAATCTGCCCTGTAGTTTGCTTCAGCAGAGCTGAAAACTCAGCCTCTGTTCTGGGGCTGTTGTAAACCAGTTCATGAAACTACTGCTACTAAGTGCCAGGTTTTGGAAATACGTGGCTTAAGCAAATCACTGAGGTGAAGGCCCTCCAAGCTGTTAGATCTGTGTAGCTGAAAGGGCAGTATACAGCAGAGGGGCAGCTGCTGGGCTAGAACTTTAGATCTTCAGCTGGTTTAATTGCTGAAGCAGTGTTTGAGTAAAGCCTGTTGCAGTGGTGATTTGGAGCATCACTTCATTTTTCTTTTCTCTTTTTCCTGCACGATTCTTCTGCAGTAAAGGAAGACTAGCTTAAAAGTTAGATTTTTGAATACTCTTGTATTTTTTCTGTAATACACAGTCGCTACACCAGTTAATAGAAATAAATGCAATCTTCACAATAAACTCTTGTCTTCTTTTTTTGGCAACAATGTTTTATTGTAATGGAAACTATAGATGTACATGCTCATCCATATTGTTGTTAATTCCTTCATCTCTGGCACATTTCAGTGTTTGAAGGCTGTTCTTCCTAAACTGTTGTTTTCCACTCATAATTTTCGATTATCATGGTTGAGCCTTTCTCCTGAGAAGCATTCCTGAAAACCATCACAGGCTAGGATCAGAAAGCCTGTGTTGTTATTCACAGAAAGTAACCTAAAGTCTGGTAGCTGAGCCTACCATCAATGGAAGCTGAAGGATAACTTTCAGAGTTAAGCAGCTTCAGGATCTCTTGGCCTTGCAGCTACACGTGTGCTAAAAGATGAAACATGCCCAAGATGTTCTCCAGTGCTATGGCCAGCCAGTGTCACTCCATCCAGGATGCTGCAGCTGTCAGGTGTCTGTGCAGCTTTGGCTCCTGATAATGGTCCGTGGACTGCCTCAACTCCAGAACTGCACTGAGAATCATTTGGAAAAGTGTTAACTGGCCCAGGGCAGATCATGCCAGGAATAGTTCTAACAATTTACTGATGTAGGCAATCCAATCTTAAAGCCCAGGAATGCATCCTGGCACTGCTGAAATTATTGGTGAAGGTATACCCTCTGGTGCAACATACTTCGAATAAATAACTAATTAAAAGAGTCAAGCTCAAAAGTTAAGCTCTTGGAGGGGAGAGATGCTTGTCTTGTTCAAAATTTTTGTGATTGCAATGTGCTTAAATGTTCATATTGAAGCTTGAAGCTCTTGCAGTTCTTTTCAAAACCAAAAAATGTTCATATGTGGAATAGCACATTAAGCATCCAAATAAAAAAACCTGGTCTTTGAGTTACAAGTGACTGGCATGCTCTTCCTTCCCCTGCAGTGTGCACGCCAGTGGGGCTGTCGCGGATGTTTACAGTAATGGGTCAGTTGCTGGTGAAGCCGACAGTAAGTACCACACAGTTCTGTCCTGTGCTACCTGTGAGAAGGTAGAATGGTGTTTGGGTACTTTCTTCTAGAATGCTTACACTTCTACAGAACTCTTCAGTTCATCAGAGTTTCTATAACCACTCTTTATGTACTCATTCCACGTTTTTCATAGAGCACAAAAGCCTAGTTTTTCCAAAGTTTTTTCTTAAAATAATACAGACTTCCTCTGATTTTTCAATTTATGTCAATGCTACTAGTATTATTTATTGCCAGTATTTCCTGCTGTGTTTTACCAGTGCCTGAAAAGTGTGGGCATATTCTGAGTTCAGGAGCCAAGAATACAAGAGCAAACAAAATCTGGATAACAAGAAGGGTACCTGGGGGTGCACACAGATGGGTGAAATGTGGGTAGTTGTCATCTTTAAGAGCTTGTTACACTCAGATACTCTGGTTCATGTTCTGAATGCTGTGAGGGAAGGGAGAGGTTTGTACCACGTACAAGTGCTCTGGTGTCTTGGGTGTCACATATCCTAGTTTGTATTTACTAAAATTTGGTTGCACTTAGATCTTGCATTCCTTTTCATTAGTCAGTTCAATCCTGGAAATACAAAGAAAATACCTACTGTTTTTATCTTTAGTCTCAAAGGACCTGATAGCAGAGGTAGACAGACTTAATTTATTTGGTTTATATTTGCATGAAATACTGGCTTATGTGAAAAGTTGCTTTTAATACAATGTTTTAAAATCTTCAGTTATTTTTGTTTAAATTGAGTGTGAAGGTTGATACGATTTGAATGTAGGTCAGACATACTGTTCTGTCTCTTTAGATTGAAATTGAACATAAAAGCCGTAACTTGAAATATTACCTTAACAGTAACTTTGCTGAAAGTAAAAATGCAACTGGATAACAAAATGGAGTAATCTTCTGTGAAGTTCTTACTTGTGTCAGTATTGTAAAGTTGTAGACTATATATTTAAATTTTCTCCTGGAGCAAAGTGAACCTGATTATGTAAGTGCCTTCAGGAAAACAAGTGTCTCTGATACTCAGTTCATGCTTCTATTTCCAAATACAGATCCTGGAAGACCTAGATGAGCAGATGTATATCATCACTTTAGAGGAAGAAGCAATTCAGAGGAAGCTTAATGGTATGTCTGCTGTAGCTGTAATGGCACTGACTCAGATACAGTATTTAGAGTAGAGTGGTTCTGGTTAGGAGTATTGGTCTCACTGTTGTGCAGTCTCTTCTCTCAAAACAGAAAATTTCAATATCATAGCCTGTAACAAATGTTGCTGATGTACGTTTCCTCACCGGGTTTTCCAAGATTGGCTCTGGAGTATGTGTGCTTTGCTTTGGTTTTGTTTTTGAATTGTCAGCTCTCTAATGTTGGGATGTTCTGAGCCCGAGAGAGCAATTGAGTAGTTGTCCAGACCCACCACCCATACTGCAAAAGAGTTTGGATTGGTAAATGACTCTGTTTCAGCCTTGTTTGAAGGATAATGAACTTATATTAGCAAGAGACTTGACTTCTTGCAATACGAATTTTATTTTTAATTTGGAAGATTTTTTTGTGTTTCAGTTGATTGTTATTTAAAATCTTAGGTAGTAATCCATTAAAAATCAGAGCACTCCTTTGTATTCTAGGAGTTATTTCATGAGTTTAATAATTAAAAACATTCTATTAATAAGTAATGAAAATTAATAATTACAAAAATGTTTTTGGTCTTACTGAATTTAGTCTTACAGTTTTGCATTTCTTGGTATGGTGTTTCTGTTATGAAGTATTTAAAAACAGTATTAAGCTTTGGCTTAGAATAGGAAGGAGTGGTGCAACATGGCAGGCACCAATTATGGAAAATGTGTTGGTTCTATAAAGCTGGAAATCATTTTGTACAAATCTTGTGACTTGCTTTTAACTTCATGGATAAGCCATCCATGCATAATTTATACGATTACTGCAGAAAACCGAGGCATTTTCATGTAAGACAGCACAACAATGTATGTGTCATGATGGCTTATTTTAGCCTTAATTGTTAAAATTTCCTGCTTTTCAGTCTTCTGTCATATATCTCTATCTCTCCTTCTCAGAGGTTTCATTAAGTTTCCTTTCGAATTTGTTTGGTCAGGGGAAGTACCTTTGAGAGCAGAGAACATGGTGGTTATCTTTATTCCAGTGCTTAAAATTTGTGGAGGAGTAGTGACTTCTTTGTGCTGAAGGTATCACTTCAGTTTAAAAATAACATTCACCTTTTCAGGTGTTTATAGTGATACACGTATGTATGTGCATTCACACACAGGCACACAGAAGGGTGCATGCAGTGAGTGTCTTTGAAGCTGTCATGGGGTAATGATAATCATTCTATGTTTTTGATGTTAGCTAGGAACTGTAAAATATTTGTTACTGAATATTTTATGTTGTCATGGTGATTCTGCTTGTGTACAACACAGAGCAATGACTCAATAGTTATTCAGGCATCTATTGGAAGTAGTGCAGAGAGGGGTCTGCTGTTCAGATGGGGAATGTGATTATTTAGGTGATGCTTGGCTGCTCTTTTTCTTGCAGAAGTCTCTCAACTGTTGCTTATATTGCAGTTTAGTATCACTTGTAGAGTGGGCCTAGGCTGTTGGTAGGCATCTACTAACTGGGTATGGATTTAGGATGTGTGCTGGGAGTTCCCCTAACCCCAGCCAAGAGGCTGGATTCTCTTTCAGCACATGGCTTGGTAGTCAGTGAAAAGTGGAACTGCAGCCCACCCATATTCCATGGAGCACTCACCAGCCTGCTCTTGAGCTGTGAAAGATAAAGGGCTTAAATGTCCTGAGACAGGAGGGGAACTGAATTCCCACTGTTTCCAATGCTGAGGGAATGGCATGGACACCCCCATCTAAAGGAATGCTTGAAAAAACCCTAGGTTGGTATGCAGAGAAAATTAATGGACTTAAGCTGAAAAGTAAATGAAAATCTAAACTTGCATATGGCATGTAGTTGGGGAAAGATGTTTTATGTGCAAGAAGATACTCTGCAGGATTTTTACTTTAGTAAATTTAAGCATGGTTGTCATTATGACAAGCATGAAAACCATCTTCTCTTCCAGAAGTCTTTCTAATACATACAAATTATGCCGGAAACATTGACATCATTATTGCCAGAACTACGAAGGGTCATGTTTACTGTGTTTGTTGCATTTTAAAAAAGTGTGTATAAATGGAGGTGTGCTAATTACATCAGTAAATGTCGTGCTGTGATGTTAGAGGCCATAATCTGTGTTTTAGCACACAGATTGTGTCTCTTTGTATCTGCTGTATCACAGCAGGCACATTCAGCTACACACTTCTTCTGCTGTGGCTGTTGCAACTCTTCTACGGGTGGTGGAAACCCGTGGTGCTTAAGTAACCCTCCTGGGCAGGTTTGCAGTAAAGTGCTCTGAAATATATACTTTATTTATGTGTATAACTAAAGAGTTGAATTTTTATTAAAATGAAGAGGACCAGAGCAGAGGCTTAAGTGATACTTGATGATTGTAAAGCTTTTCATATTTGAAAATAAATCTATCTGTGAAACTGTAGATCTTCTTTGTGGGAACTAATTTTCTTCCTCCTCAGGTGTCTGCAGTGTCTAACTGAAAATCAGAGGAGGAGGGATGGGAAAGTTTGTGTTATCTACCCTAGTATTTTTATCTATTGAAGAGATACTGGGCTTTGGGAAAATGTTTGTTTCCAGTGTATTATATTTCAGTACCCACATCACTCCTACAGTTGAAGAATAAAGCTGGGACTTTTTAATATAAAAAGAAAAAAGTTGCCTTCAGCTATTAGTTTTCCTGAATCCAAAGAGATGGGTGGGGTAGGATCAAAAATACCTTCTTGATCAAAGTTATTGGCTCTGAAGGTATCCTTACCTATGTAAGAAAGATGAAAGGTGTTGTTTTTATTGCACACTAGTAACAGTGTAATTTTGAACTAATTGGTGGTGAACTGCCAATCACCTTGGGGGAATGCAAATAGATACTCTTACAATTTCCTTTGAGGTACTGAAATCTTATGTCGGGCCTGGAAGAAAAACAGAATAATACCGTTAAATTGACCTTAAATGAGCTGCTTTGTGGCTTTCTTGGAGAATCCCTTCTAACTTTTCATTGCTAGTCCAAACAAGTCTCGTCTACCAATTTGATTTATTGGCTAGACAGCGCTGACATTGAACTTTGTGCGTGTTTGAAATAAAGCTAATGTTAGAGAGCTTTTAAGAATTTAGCTGCATCCTTTTCAAATACTCTTTTGACTGATCTGAAACTTTGCCTCTCGTAAAATATCCTTTTGTATAGCAACCTGTTGTTTGCAACTATTTTTAAGGAGGCACTACAACAGCACTTAGATATGATTCAGAATTTCTACTGACCTGGTCTTGGGGACCTACTCTGATGCTGGTTTGTTGGATAGACTCCCATGAAATCAGTGTTTTGAGCTGGAGCAATTTTTATATTGAGGGAAGAAAAAAACATAGATATATGTTGAACTGAGCTTTTCCTCAGAGACTCCTAAATCAGTTTCAGAGAAGAAGAAAACATCAGATGCTGACTTGAGTTTTCCTTCTTGTTCAACTGCTTCCATGACAGTAATTAGTCATTCCCTAAAACAGATGTTTTAGACTTTTTTGGGGGGAATGCATCATCATAAAAGCTTATTTTTATAGTGACAATTAGCTTGGAGTTTTTTTAAAGGCTTTTTTTGAAAACCTGTGTATTATGATTAATAAAAAAACCCCCACACTGAGAAATGAAACTGACATTTGTATTTCAGACACTTAAAGTGATAAGATGTAATGTAACAGTGTCTGTAGGTCTTACTGGATAGTCCTGAGAATAGAGATATTTATATATTTGAAACCCTGTAAATATTACCCCGTATTCATTTTATGTTACTGATACTCAAGATAAATGTTTAGACATAGCACAGAAGTTACATGTTATATGTAAAACTGTGTGTGAAAGAAACAGTTAATTCGGTTAAAAATTTAAAATTTTAAACAGTTGGATGTTTCATTGATGATCTGACTGCATTGAACAAATCAGTATTTAATCGTCTGCAATAAAAAGAGTTACCTTTTTTCTTGTGTTGAAGTTGTTGGACACATGAGGAGACAACAGAAAATAAGGAAATAATGAGACTGGACTACAAAGTAGTGTTGCTGTGTCAGCAGCCTAAGTGCTATTTAGATTTTGTAAGCAAGTGATCCAAATATAAGATAAAAGCCTGGAGAAGAATATTAATCTCATGTAAATCTATTAGAAATTTAAAAAAAGTACGTGGAGCACGGTGCTTTTACAGGTTAGCTGATGGCCAAAGGTGGGGCCGAGGGCAGGAAATGGCCAGCAGGTGAAGGGTGTGAATGTAAATCAGCAAAACAACAACAGAGAGGACTTAGGATTTAATACCTTGAGCTGTCACTGCCATGGTGTCTTATTGCAGAGTGAAATTGGCCTGGAATAGATAGGGAAAATATGAGCCCTTAACTTATTTTCAGATGAGATTGCCCCACTTTCATCATTTCTATTTGTGAACAAAGGTGAGTGGAGAGTGTTTCTAACTTACCCCAGGCAGAATATTTCCAGGTTGTGATTGCAGAGAGTGAAAGCTAAAACAGAAATAATTGGATAGGAACTGAAACAGCACATCTCTAGTCAACATTGCAGAGCTGTGTCAGTGCCTGAACACTGTGCAGGGTTTGTAAAGGAGCTGGCATCAAGGAGGGAAACCCCAGTGTGCTTGTACTGGGAAAGAGGAGTGGTTGGAAGGGAATGGAAGGTTGAAGAGAAAAAGAGTGGAGAGAGAAAATGGACTGGGTTTCCTCAAGGCTTTGTAGGGTTAGGAAGAAAAGTTGATGAGTAACTTTTAGGCAGAAAATTAGCAGGAAGAAAGGAATAAAAATTATGGTTGTTAGGGCTAAGCTGATGTACAGGAGAAAATATGAGGAGTTGCACAACAGTGACATGTCTGTGTTATAAACTGGGAAGTGGAAGAGGTTGTTCTCATGGGTGGTTGTGGGAATATCTGATTGTGGCATGGAGGAACGGAGCAGGCAAACTCGTGTGAGCAGAAGATGGGTCAGCAGTGTGGAAACTGAGCTTGCTGAGGAGAGGGAGAGAGGGGCAGAAACTGACTCTGGAGCTGTGGCCACTTTAAAGGCTAAGGTTCACTTTTGCTAAATAATAATGCTCCTGAAGGGCATCTGGGGATTCTTTACATCTTGGTACAGGAATTGTATAGGGATTTAAGAATGAGGCATTTGAGACATCCTGTCTGTCACGCTATGTCTGGTCGTGGGACTTGTGTGAAAGTTCAGTATCAGCAAAAGAGGCTGGGATCACAGGAGATGATGCTGAAATCTGTGTTGAACTCTGCTGTTTTTGAATAGTATTTGAAGAGTCTCCTGCAGTTTAAAGTCACAAGTGCTAATGTAATGCTTCCTAAATCAGAATTGTCACTGTGTGTCTTGCAGTCACATCTGAAAGAAAATCATGTCTTTTGTGTTAAAAGGTGTATCTTCCACAGTGGAATACCAGACGGTAGAGTTGGAACGTGAGCTTGAAAAAGTGAAAAGCAAGAAAACAAATCTAGGTAATGAACTTTCTAGTTTTCACGTAGGTTGTAGTTTACTAAATGACCTTAAGGTGCTGCATTTAGTTTGGAGCAGTTGCTTGGTTGATTCCAGTTTGTTCTTAACCAAATCTGTGCATTTGCAAATACATTACATGAAATCATTACATCACTCCAACAAAAAAATTTAAATAAGGAGTCTGATTTGGATCTTATTTTTAACATTGTTTTAGATAAATGGTAACACTTCTTTGCACGGAGCTTTTTGTGTATAATGTACTTATGAATATTTGGGCTAATCTAGGACATTCCTTTTTGTGTTCAAATTATTTCTGTAAAATTCAAACAGTTTCGTTTTGTTTTGTTTTCTTTCCTTGCACATGCTAATGATGTCCAGTTAAGTTAGTTCTGTCTTTCCTACCCTACAAGAGGACAATACTATTTAAATATCCGAAATTCTGTTCTGTCTCTTTAGGGACATGCTAAAATATACATGTAAACAATGTATTTGTAAATTCAGCAGATTTTAAACTTTGTGGAACTGCTGTGTGCTAGAGGAAGAAAAAAGTTACAGGGAAACATGCCTGTAAGAAAAATCTGCTTGTCTCTGTCTCCCCAGCCTTTCTCTTGAGAGGTTTCATATTTTTGCCATTGCTTTGTACAGCTCTACAGGGTGGATGTTCTTATGAACTGGTTGATGTTTGTTCCAGGTCAGGATATGGTTGTTATTTATATTTATAGTGAGCTTACAGATAGCTGAATGATAGTTACTTGCTTTATTCTAAGGTGATCTATGGTATTAGGTTTATGTTTTTTCTCTTCTGAACAGAACGGAGGAAAAAAGCTTCTGCTTGGGAAAGGAATTTAGTTTATCCAGCTGTCATGATATTGCTCCTGATTCAGACAGTAAGAATTTTCTTTTTTTCCCCTGGCAAAAAGTATGAAGAGTTCTTTGGTTATTTGAGGGAATAGTTTTAAATTTTTTGAGATGAATGGTTAAGCAACAATCTTGATATTCTTTTCTTGACCATTTAAATAAACGAACTTGACATTATGGAGTCTGGTGAGGACAAATGTGTAGATTGTAAAAATGTGGAATACTTTTCAATAACAAGATTGTTTCTACTTTTTTTAGTCCTTTTCAGTTCTTTTAGTCGCTCTCAACATTCTTTACCTGTTGGTTGATGAGACTGCAATGCCAAAGGGATCAGGGGTAAAGTAATCTTCTCTTAAAATTTTTATAATTTTAGTAAAGCTTTGGAGGCCTTGGAGAAGTGCAAGTGGGAGCTTTTGCTTTAATAACATGGAAATTAATGAACCTTGACCTTGACTTTGCTTCTAGGTTTCATTCCTGTGCCCACACAAGCATTTATTACATGTCATGTTGTAGTGAGTTCTTACTAAAATAGTGCAGAAGCTTTATGTAGATACAGTGATGCAGTAAAGCAGATCAGTAATCTGGAGTTTGCAGTTTTGTCTCTGCAATACATTTCACTGCAGTTTGAAAGCTGCTGGTGCAATTGCATGGGGTGGGGGGGACTTGGAGGGTGGGACATCAGAAGGCCCCTGAAACACTGAATTGAGAAGAGGCTGTATTTCATATAAGATGTTACATGTTTTGTTCTTAGTAGAAGTTAACTTTATGAACCGTTGTATGTGTCTTATTTAATTGTGCAATATCTTTTCCTTGTAGGGACCTGGAATAGGAAATGCCTCCTTATCCACCTTTGGCTTTGTGGGAGCAGCACTTGAAATCATTTTGATTTTGTATCCTTTCTGAAAAAATCTTGTCTGTTAACAAGTATTCTGTCTAGTTTTCTGGGACACTGGTAATACACTAAGACACTAGCCTGGAAAGAAGAAAGAGATAGCTCAGTCCTTCTCAAACACTTGAAGTGTTTTTGTTTCTTTTTTCTTTAGTTCTTAAGACTTTTCAGAGACTGCTGAGAACTTGAGTGAAACTTGCATTCCTTGCAGGTTCTTTTTTTCCTTGATTCTCACAGCTATCTTATGGTATCTTCTGTCGTCGGCTTCTACAGTCTTCGTTTTTTTGAGAATTTCACTCCCAGGAAGGATGACACAACTATGACAAAGGTAAGGTACAGTCTGGGATGGGGATGGCCCCCTCCTGTCTGTCTTGCCACTCAAGACAAACTGACTCTCTTAGTAATTGCCCTGAATGGCTCATTTGCAGTGATCAGTATTTGTTTGTAAGCTGCATAAACACAAACTGGAAGATTGTCAAAATGCTGAATGAGTGGGAAAAAGGATGTGCTCTGTTTAGTTTGGATGGCATCCATTCACTTGTAAAAAGCCAGGAATGGCAGAGCTTGTTAACTGGCTATAGAAAAGCAAGTGAAAGAACTTCCTTCAAAAGGAACTTATTGCTAATGAGTAACTTTGATTGTGTTAACTGTACTTCAGGGGGCTTGGTTGAAATCTGAACAACGTGGTTGCTAGAAGTAATAGAGACAAAGTAATTTAAATTTGTATAATGAAACTAAGAATGAGGATGGCTATTCAGCAACATTTTGCAATCTGAAGCTAATTTGACTTTCTACAATTTAGCACTGGCTTTAGAATAACCAAAGCTGTTACCTGATTTGGAGAAACATGCCTAGGTTTTTGGCAAAATATTCCCACAACTGACATGGGGAAGTGATCAGTAACCAAGGAACAGATGTTGAATTTAATTATTTTTTTCAATATGTTTCACTGTTTCTATTTTTTTTAAGTAGTGGATTAAGATACTTTTTCTACAAATTGTTGGAAGTGAGAAAGGGGGTATGCACACAGAATGATTAAAGTTATTAGTAGAGATTTGGAATGTTCTTCATATTTCCTATTGATTGTTTGCAGTACACCAGGAATAGTGTGGAAATAAATAGTGAATGTACAAATGTCTACCTACTTTCAAGTTTTCTTTCTTTTTTCTTTTTCGTTTTGGCTTCCGATAGAACTAGACCTGAAGAAAATGATCCTTTGTGAAAGAAAGTTTCAATTACTCTTTTTAAAGGTCTTACAAGAACAAGAGTAAAATCTAACAGCTGTGAATTTTTTCGTATTATTTAAAGTAGACAACAGGCATTGAATTGAAAGGAAGCTCTTTGTTGTAATTTTTTAAATAGTGCTAATCCTGCAAGCAGTAACATCCAAGGCTTAAGCTGATGTATCAGTCATCCATTCTAAGTCCATGGAATTGTTCTTTTATGAAACATTCACAGGAAGTAAGTAAACAGTTGATGCTTTGCAGCGTGGTTGTTTTGAATAATTTTGAATGTGAGCATACATAACACTTTGATTAAAAGCACATGAATACACACTTGATTTTCTTCTTGGATCATCTTCGTCTTGTTTAACACCATGTGGAGAGGAGTGACAGCAGTCAGCAAGACTAACAATATGTTACTGTAAATTGCTTTAGGTTCAATTTGAAGAATGAATGTGCCTTTTAGGAATTCTTTTTCATCTTGACCACTGTTTTTCATTGTGTTCCCTTCAGCAATTCCATTTATAGTTTAAATGCTATTTGTCATTTTCAAATAGATAATTGGAAACTGTGTCTCAATCTTGGTGCTGAGCTCTGCTTTGCCAGTGATGTCAAGGACACTGGGTAAGTGAAATAGAAGTAACACTGTAATAAAAGATGTTTAATCAAATTTTTAAAAATACAAGAAAAAAGACCCTGTAGCTGTATTTCCCATTGTATGTATTTTATTTGCCATCACTTTCAGTGGAAAGAGTGTGTATCTGTGGCCTTCATTTCTACATGAGCATGAACTGCAGAACATACTTTCCTTAAAGAAAAAGATGCTAAGCATTTTTTAGAGAAGATATTATTTTAAGAAGGTCAGATTTGAAACTTCTTAAAACAGGAGATTATGAGATGAAAAGATAGGAAAACTGATTGTCCAGAGCAGTATGAAATCGTTTCATGTTCACTGTGAAATCAGTGCTTAATGCAATACTTTTGGGATTGGGTGACTGAAATTTGAGGTAACATTGAGTGCAAATGGCTTTTTAAAAACAGTTAATAACTCTTCATTTATTAAGTTTTGATCAACAGTAATACCAGCTACTTTCATTTTCCCTACAACAATATGCTTGTATTTTTTAACTTCATTTTTCAAATTTAACAATTTGGAGTCTACCGTAGAAGAACTCTTGATTTTATTGCTAAGGATTGGCAGTAGCATTTGAAGTTGTTAAGCTGTTTTAAGCAGTTGGAAAGACGTGTTGTATCTTCACTTTAATTAGGTAATCTTCAGGTTGAGTTCTTGAAGTTAAATTGCAAGGCTATTACATGTTTTAAGTAGCACAGAATCCTTGTAACTAATGTGAATTTCATTGGGAACATTAAATAGAACTAAACAAAAATCTTCACCTCGGGCTGTACAAGTCTTAAGTACAAGCTTAGAAGTTTGAGCTCAGGCCCACAGACCAGCAGTGTGTGCTCAGTAGTTCTGAAGCTGGTTTTCCTTTCAGACAGGATACTCTTGAATCAAGAGTAGTTCATTATTTTCCAGTAAATTATACTGTATATTTTCATGCTATGTATATCTACAGATGAGGCATTTTAATAAATTATAAATCATTTCTATAGCAAATGGAAAAACACTCTATAATGCATTTTGGAGTGTTGAATCCTAAAATAGACATTCTAGAACTTAGTTAAAAAAATCTATAGTAAAACTCCACAAAAATGCAAAAGAAAAATTTAAGTACTTAAAGCAGTGCAGTTTTAAAATATAACCAGTATGATAAAGGTCTAAGAGGGGAAATGATTCTAGCATGTGGAGCCAGATGTTACATAGAAAAATCACTGTTTTAGAATAGAATTGTAACATAAGTTTGTGTCCACTAAATTACTGCATTCAAGACTTGTTTAAAAGAAAATAAAATTAATTGTTAATGATCCATGAGATTACCAGTTGATAATAACCAGATTCTGTGGCAGTAAGTGTACACGCTGGGTCCATTGTTGTCTCATAGGAAACAGATTAATGGTAAAACTCACTTAAAAACCAGACTAACAAGTGAAATTCCTGAATAGTTTGCCATAGAGATAAATAAAAGAAGAAAAAAGATGGAACAATTAACACACAGCTAACAAATGCACAGTCACAGCTGTCCAAACAGGATTAATAGAGTGTATTAGAGTACAGTGAGTCATGTGGTGCTTTGCAAAAATATCAATGTGTGTTGCACTACATGCCACTGCCCTGTGGCACTGAATAGATGAAAAGAAATAAATATGTTAAGCAGATTCATAGTCTTTTCACTTTATTAAAAAAGCGAGATTCTAGACTATACAGAAAAGACTAGACTTTATCCTTATGGGAAAGGTGAAACAGCAAAAGTTATCTAATACATACACTGACCTTTTTCAACTTTTAAAAATAGAAATAGTTTCTTACATGTTTCAGAGCATTCTAATTAGATATGTAGGTGGTGGATATGTCTAATCTGTCATTCTTCTAGAACTCCAGGAAAGTTTTAAACTAAAATAAGTTACTTTACTTAAATAAGTTAACTCATATTTTCCCAGAACTTTTCAGCCTTTTAGTAGCCCTTCAGAAATGTTTCCCACGAGCACCAGATTTTTAATGACAGAGAAACAAACTGGGAACAAGGCACTTAATAGTCAAGAATACAAAAACAAAGAATTCCAAGAGAAAGTTGAACTTTCTAGTATATGGAAATTTTCCTAGAATTCTACACTTGAGTATTATGTGCAAATAAATGGGGATTTTAAATTTATTTGTGTGTGCTAAAACCTAATATGTGTTTTTAACCTGCAGAATTCTTTAACAGTTTATTTGGTAAAATTTGATCAGCTTTTGTGTGTGTATATTTGTGCTACTAGATATGCAAGTTTTTTTGTTCAATTACTGAAGAGTTACTAAAAGTCTTGTTTTTCTCTGTGGCCTGAGTAGATACTGCTTCTGCAAGAAAGTCATCAAAATCTTTTCAACCTTTTCCTCCCATGAGTTTGCAGACTGTTACTGTGTCACGTTTCTGATGAGCAGTGACTTTTTCTGTTTGTAAGAAGAAATTGAATGTAATTTATGGACAATAATTTTCCCACCTACTCTAACAGAAGTGTCAGGGTTCATTTCTGTCCTTGTAACCACTGCTCTGTGGCTCACTGTTCTTCTGGACCTCTGTGTCAAGGAATGTTATTCCTTTTCCAGACGATTCCAGTGCTCTGCCTGTTTTGTTCCTTTTCCTTTCAAGTTTTGGAAGCCTATACATTCAAACCTGACTTTCTTAATTTTTATGTGACTCCACAGTTTCATTAAACACTGCTGCTTTGGAAATGTTGAGGACTCTGTTTGCCTTCAAGTGGGAAAGCAGCTCTGTGTTTATTGTCCTTCAACTCTACCATTCAGACAGCTGACTGCTTCTTTCTGTGCTAAGACCTTCTGTGCTTTTTTAGTATTTCTCCCTGCCTCTCTTGCTGTTTTGATAAGTGATTGTTTGGTTTCATCCTTTGAAACTTCTTTTCATTTCAGTATTTTTTCCTTAGATACCAAATTCAATTCCCGTGTTTTAATTTAAATTACCGATGCTGAGTATAAGAAGTGTATTTTTAACATTGTGATAATTGGCTTGCAAGTCTTGGGTATCTAGGTACAGTGAGATTCCTAAGTGTCAGGTTTACCCTTGGAAGAAATGAAACTGACCCTTTATTCTGTCTCTTAATTTATTATCACTTTTGAAATCACTTTTTTGAAATCACTTTTTAAAAGCCCCAAAACACTTTCAAAATAAGATGATAGAAAATCAGGAGCTTTCAGGAGTTTCAGAGCCAGGGCTACTCTATGATTGCCTCATTTGCTGCTGCCATTTTAGTTCTGGGACAGGGTCAGCTTCCTGCTTTTGTACTGTTGTGAGGGCACACTTCCCTCTGACACCGTCTGTGCCAAAGGTTTTTTGGGAATACAGCTTTTGAATCCTAGACAATGGTCATGTGGCTGTTATCTCAGTGTTCTGCCATGTGTTCAGTGCAGTACTCCATGACACCTGACAAAGGAACAACCTGTGCTTCTTCCTCTTCTGCCTTCTACCGTGAGCCCTACACCTTCTAGATGTTTCCATGCTTCAGAGAAACGTTGTTCACTTAATTAATAATTGACAGGCCTTTGATCAGCACAAAGCCCAAGTGTCAGGGTTGGAGGTGCCCTGTGAAGAAAATCTGTCAGCACCATCTTTCAGCCTCTTTTCCTTCTGTGCAAATGCTCCATGGCTGTAGTGGTGGATGTATCCAGGAGAAAAACTGCAGTTGGAAAGATGTCTTTAAATTTTGGTTTCAAAAGCAGTGCTCTGGAAGAGCACTTGAAAGGCTTGGTGTTTACCATAAGATGTTGTGGGTCTCATAGAAAGGCTATTTGCTGCCTGTATTTTTTTAAAAAAAGTTCAAGGTGCATTTCACTCTTTTCTGGAATCATTAAAGACTTTGTAGAAACTGAGGTTTCAAGCAGTTTTCATACTAAAGCTGATTTTTTCCAGTTATATTTACTGAAATTATAAAAATAGTTCTTAACTAGAATAGATAATTCATTTCAACTCCCATTATTCAAGCATTTTACTATGAAGTTTAAAAAACATTTTGCTAAAGGTGTCTTACAGTTTTAGAGTGACCAACAAACATTGTCTTGTATGTTTAACCATGTGTCTTCTGGTGTGCTGTCTGTAAGAATTTTGCATCCAAATGTAAATGTAATAGAAGGAAATTTTTGCATTTCCTGGAAAAAAAAAAAAAGAATGTTTTGATCTAAATCTTGCGTGCAATTTAACAGGAATCACCAGATTCGATCTCCTTGGAGACTTTGGAAGGTTCAACTGGCTGGGGAACTTCTATATTGTGTTATCTTACAACTTGCTCTTTGCTATCATGACAACGTTGTGTCTGGTCAGAAAGTTCACTTCTGCTGTGCGAGAAGAGCTCCTGAAGGCATTAGGTAACACAGCCCTGAAAATTCCCTGTGTGCTTGACCATTCCCTGTCACCACCACTGACACCTTGATGTGCTGCTGGTAAAGTTCTGTCACTGCTCACAGAATACTTTTTGTGGCGGAAATTTCTCTAAGTTAAGGTGTGAGGATGAATATTGTTGTGTTTTTTGAGGAGTTTAGAGCTAAGGTACAATGTTGATTTTAATAATATGCCTGTGGTACTTATTGATCTCCAGCTGGATTTTTGGTCTTTGGAGATCACAGAAACACTCTCATTGCTATGAGCAATTAGTCCAAATTAAAACTTCAGCTTGTCTATGAGTTGGGTTTTTCTTTTTTGTTTAAAGCAACTTATTAGTTCCCTAAAAATAGTTAGCAGAGATCTTAACTGCTTTGTTGTCATACTTACATACTTTTTTTGAACATCTATTAAAAAAATCTTTATACAGAAGGTACAGAACCTTAGTAACTGTCTGCGTAAAAACCTTTACCTGATATAATCAAAAATTTGATCAAATTTTGCATTGATATTTCTTGACCTTGATTCTTTCATTGATATTTCTTTTACTCTTGAAAGGCTTGAAACACATTTGATACTAAGAGGATAGAATGTTTTTTATTTTTTTATTGTTGTTGCCTCATTTTATCTTTACTAATTAACAAAGCTCCTCTCTTTAGATCCCTGGAGTAGTATTTGCTTAAATTGAGAGGGTTAATGGTGAAACTTTAGTGTTTCTTTGTAACTGAGGATTCAGTTTGCATCATCTAGAAGTTACTCATGTTAGTTTTCACTGCTTTCAGAGTTGGGATGCTGAAACAAAATCCAAGCACTTCCCAGAGTGCAGGTGGAAGATCAGTTTAAAATTGTTGTAAAATAATTAAAGTGTTTAATAAAAAATTACAGATGTTGAAGGCAGATTAAGAAACATAAAAATGCAGGCAAATCACTGGATTTGACACAAGTAGGGAGTCACAAACCCTGAAATGTGCAGATTCCTGACACAAACTGGGTTTATTTTCAGTGCTGTACATCACAAACGATGTCTGTTAAAAACTGTCCCGTGGAATTCTAAGAATCAAAATAAAAATTGGCCTATGACCAAAAAATTCACAAATTAAGAGTACAAATAAGAATATTAAGATTTTTGGTTTTTAGTAGTGCAGTTAATTTTGGGATTCCAATTCCAACAGTGCCAGAAATTTAACTTTGTACAGCATGGCACTTCAGTAAAACATTCAGTGTAGTCTGTACAAAATGAATAAGAAACTCTTTCCAGGTTTGATCCTTAATTTTCGAGACTTGATAGGAGACTTCAGAGCGAGCAAGGAAGGATTGATATCATGCCTCTTTTGAATAAAATACATCTGAATTTGCCATCTTTTCTCATCTATCCTGGCCCAAAAAAGAGTAATTTAACTGCTTCTCTGGGGCAGGATGTGAGACTTGAATTAGCACTCACAATAGAGAATTGTGCATTAATAACAAATGTCTGGAAACAGAGAAAAATCAGTAATAGTATAGTCCTAAAAATGTAATTAGACATATAAATAGTTTAGAGAAGTGATCTGGTCATCCCCAATGACTTTAAGATGAGCAGTGGATGATTTACAAAAAAATGTTATAGTTTAAAATAAATATTTTAGGTAATTATTTAGGCCTTTGTAGGTGACAGGGTAAATTATTTTAAATCTTACTTGGTTCTTAACATCTGAGTCTGTGATTCAAGCAATGGAAAGTTAGGATTCTCTGTCTTCCATTCTTGTCCACTGTAATGGATTTTCTCACTTAAACAACACTGAGGGAATTTCCCAGAAGCAATTCTTACAGGAGGCAGAACATCAGTTCTGGTCTTCAGTAAATGTCAAGTCCACAATCACGAAGTAGAATTTGGATTGTCTGTGTTATTTTGAATACCTGTGTGCATAAAACAAGGAGGAGTCTTAGCTTTTCATTATTCTGTAATGTTTTTCAGGATTAGATAAACTTCATCTATCAAACAATCCAAGAGACTCGGAGACAAAGCCTTCTGCAAACGGCCATCAGAAAACACTGTGATAACAATCACCTGCAATCAGCAGAGCTGAAAACATCAACCTCATGGCATTCCTGTCATCTCATCAGCATTTTTATATTGCTTTTAGTTGTTAGTTTGGGTCAAGCCTTGTCTCATTTTGCTGTATGCTTCTGAGGAAGTTAGGTGTGTCAGATTCTTCTCTTTCCAGTGAACTTTTGGTCTGCTTGTTTATTTCCCAGTAAGTTAATGCAGGAGGTGCCTTGAAGACTGGAAGCTGAAGAGAAAAATGCATTCCTTTTTATTTGTTGAACGTCTCACATCTTTATTTTTAAACTTTCTACCATTTGAATGCACAGTACCTCCTGTGTTACCCAAACACAGCTATAAAGAATAACTTTGGGACTTGATTTAAAAACAAAAAGAAGAAAACATACACTTGAAGGCCAATATGACCCTTGCTGGAAATGTAAAGTACCTGGAGTAGGTATTTGTGACAGGAGATAAACAGCTCTACTGAGAGTGAGTTAAAAAGGACAGGAGAGATCACAGTTCCCTCGGGTGCAGTAGGCTGTGTCACAGAGCTTTCTCAGAAGGCCAGTGTTTTCAGCTCTCTGTCCTTAGCTCTAAATGCCAGCTTGCTTTACTGGTGGTCAAATGATGTCTTACAGAAGTCCAAGATGAAGATTAACTTCAGTGTTAAATCTGAGCCTAGTATGCTTTGTAAAAAGCTGTGTAGACCCCCTGTCACAGCTCTCACAGTTCTGTGAGCTGTTGTGTTATGGAGGTCCCTTCCCCTACCCTGTACCCCCTGTGAAATTTTTGATGAACTACTGTGTGTAAGCAGTACCTGGAATCAATGCAAGGAGCACAGGCCTAGGAGGCTGCAGTTGCAGTCTTCTACAATCTTTAATTTGAAGTAAATTTCTCTGAATTTATACTTCAGTTACCAGGATTTCTGTTCAGTGGCATAGTCAGTTATCTGTCACTAGCCTGTTTTTTTTAATGTACACATAAACATGTATATAGGCCTATATGTGTAGATACCATAAATGAAATTCTAAGGTTATAGATATGACAGTGTGTGGTTTGGTAAGTAAAACTTGTGTGGTCAGTCTTGGTAGTTTGAATTTCTGCAGTGTTACAGTTTAACTGCTCAGAGGCCTTAGATTCAAGATGGCATCAGTGGGTCATAATGTCCTTTCTTGTAGCATTTCCTTGCAGCCTTAGGAATCCTTTAAGCAGCTTATAGTAAAGAAAAATACCAAGTAAGTATTCAAAATCTGGTTGCACTTTTGTCCTGCTCAACTACAAGTAATCTTAGACAGGCTGGAATAGGGATGCCTTCAGTGAGTGCCCATCATGTAGGGAGCCAGAAAATTTTCCTGTTCATATCCTGTTTCTGTAAAACAAGTCTGCCTGTCTGTAGTTTGAGGTCTTATATTAGTTGGTGACGACTTGGTTTCCAGTGTGTTTCCAAAATAAGGTAAACCTTGTGTCAGAAACTTTGGCTGTTCTCCTGAGATGGCTGCTCTGGGCTGTAGACCTTATTGCTGTGTGTGTGAATGTCTGCTTGGTTTTTTTTTTCCCCTTAAGTGCTTCAAAAATCAAGCTCCAGTACACATGAGGATTTATCTTTTTTTGCAGCTGCCTTCTGACTTGAACTGGGGCATAATGTAAATATTTCTGTAGTAAATATGATGCTAGAGAATTACTTTTTTTCGGTGTGTGTGATTAGTATAAATTCAAGGTTTATTGAACTGACTATTGATGTGTTGTATCAAGTCCTGGAAGAAGTAAAATTACTTGATTTCACTAAGATTTACAAGCATCTTTTCTCTTGTTTAATGCTGACACTTTAGTGAGAAATCTTTATCTGAGTCAAAGTTCTTCAACCAATAACAGAGCTATAATTAAAAGTTGTTCTAAATTGAGTTTCTATTTAAAATATTGGGAAATATATTATTAGGGGCATCAGTCAAGTGTTCTCAGAGCTTGTAGCTTTATGGATTGGCATCATGGTTAAAAACCAGTGAAATACATCCACTTTTTCATGCAAATCACTATATGGCCAAAATTGTCCTCATGTCTTAATGGGGCTGCTGAATTGTGGTGTGTGAGTCCAGTTAGCTTTATAGAAATATTTCCGTTACAATGCTAAGACAGTTAATACACTCTGAAGAAATTCATATTAGGAATAAACCTAGGAGTATTAACCAGCATAGGTCTTGCTCTTTGTGCCTTGGGAGAGATGTTTGTCGTGGCATCAGTGACCCAAGAAGAGAGAAAAAGGTGGATTATAATGTGTGCGTGGCTTCTGCGAGTGAGTTGGACAATTCCTTCAACTGAGCAGGGGCAGTTCCTGCCAAGAAGCACCCAAGCTTCAGGCAAGACTTTGAAACTCTTTTTCAAAACGAATCTTAGAGCCTCGACTGTCCCCACCCCTTCTGCTGGATTGTGCAGGCAGATATGTGGGTTTAAAGCTCTGTTACAGAAGACTTTACACTGGACTCTGTGGGATGGTTGAGGTGCTGTATGGTTTCCAAGATGGATGAGAAATTCAAAACTACCCTGTGCAACTACTGACAGTGTTTTGTTTTAAAGTCAACTGCTGATATTGTGGCACTGTCTACACTAAAATATGTTCTTGGCCTTGAAAATGACGTGCTTATGCAAAGCTTTGTCACTGCATGCAAGATACAGGTCACTGTATACTTTTCACAGAAGCATATGGTCACGTAATTACAAGCAACTGGTAATTCATTAATGGATATTGACAATACATTCCTAGTATTTTGACTCATGTAGAGTCAGGTGGTCTATACCTTCAAGGTATATACAGCTGATCTTAGTAACATTAACATCTGCCTCACTTCTTACGAGGCAAAAAGCACATCAATTCTTCCATCTTCAACTAGATTCCACACAGACCAAAAAAATAGTTGTAAACTGAGTGTTTTAAGTGAGCTGTTTTTTGGCTTTTTTCTGTGTTGGTAGCACAATATTAAATGCAATTGCAGAACCATAATATTTGTGGGGTTTCTAAGCATAAAGCACACATGCTTATCACTTCAAGCTGAAAAATAATAGTATTGGTTACTGTACTAGTAACAGTTTTGCATTCATAGGGAGCTTTGTTTACTGTCTGTAATGTGCTGTTTATCTTTGGCCCTGTTCCTCTGAAACCTTGGACCCTGTTGGCTGTTTTAGTGTGATAGAAATTAAAATATTTGACGAGTTGTTTTCCTTGTCTGGTTCCCAAGTACCACCTGGAGCACCAATGGAGGGAGGGCTGGGCTGTGTGTGCAGGCAGGAGCTCCTGCAGCAGGTGCTTGGCAGGATGGACACGGGAGCAGATCCTGGGGACGTGTCCTCCCCTGTGTCACCAGGAATGAAGGGTGCCAAGGGACTGCAGCCCCTGTCCATCCCACCTTGTCTCTGCCACTCACCTGTGAGTCTGTGAAGCAGCTGATGCTACTTGAGGTGCTCACCTGTGCTCAGTGCTGTGTAGTGAAGACATGATGGCCCTTTTCTTAAAGAATTTACAGTCTAAATTAGAAAGGCATAAGGTAGAAACAGAAAGCAGTTGGCCTGTTCCTGCATGTGGCTTTCCTTGAATTCTTGAAGCATGCTCTAGGTTATTTCCCATCTCTTCTTCCTTTTCCAGAAGTGGGGTGGTGGTGTATGTACAGCAGCTAAGCCTTACCCTTTGTGGACTGGCATCTAAAATTTTGAAATAACAAATACAGGAAAACAGCTAAATCCTGTTTAACATATCCTCTGATCTTGAAAATAGCATTTTTAAAATCAAGTGAAATAATCTAAACAGAGACAGGACATTAAGGCCACATAAATAACCTCTTCCAATAATTTGCTTAGTTTTGTTTAAAAAAGTATTGATATGAACTGTGAAGCTTTAATTACTTTAATGAAATAAGATTCCCTACCTCCTATTCGAATTAGTATTAGAATTTTTGTTATTTTAATGCTGAATTGAGAGAATATTGCCTACACGGACTTCCCTCCCCACCCCATGAACACTGAATTTGCTATTGATAAGCTGGCAGGTTATTTCAGTCACATTGTCAGGATTTGAACTTTACAAAATTGCTGCTTTTGAATTTATCCCATTCAGCAAGAGCAAACTAAGGCCACAGCCACCAGCCACGTGGTGAGAGATACAACTTCTGCCCCCTTTTCTACCTTGCCCCCTTGAGACAGACAAAACATGAAACAGTAGAAGAATTCACATAGATTTGATTAATGCACTGTAAGAAAACATATCAGAAGGCAACTTTAATGGAAGGCTTTTGAAATATTTCACAACTGAAGCACCTAAAACTTTCAAAGAGAAAGAAGAAATGTGTATCATTAGTATACAAATGTCAATTGTATGTTCTCTAAATAAGCCAGTAATTCACTGAAAAAAAATTCATCACTTCTTAAAATCTCTTTGATTCACACTGAAACAGTATCTTGGACCTCTGTAGAAGCCTGTGAACTTCTGAAGGTATCTCTGTCTTGGCAACAGAAACCTGAGGATGCTTGCTAGTTTTGTGTTAATTACCAAATTTTATCAGTAACTTTTTAGTTTCATTTATTGCTCATACATTTTTTCAATATACATAGCATTACATGTTTTAACAAATATAGAAGGTGACTCCAAACTATCAAAGAGATAGTGTGAGAAATATCCTGTAATTACTGATATTCTTGACATACTGAATTCCAAACTATTTAGAAACTCTGTATGAAAGCCTTACATCAGCATAGAAATTAGGAAATCCTAATTCTTAAAGGCTTTTAGGTATCTGAATGTTGATATGTACCTACTTGAGCACTTTGGAATGCTGCTTCTAGATGTTTGTTGATCACTAACCCCAAGCCTGCTGTTGCTTTTCTCCCTACCCCCATTACATTAAGTTTTATAGTCGGCATCACTGGATGAAGCTCCTTTCTTGAGCAGGGCTTTATTTTGCATTCCTCATCTATTCCCTGCTTCCATAAATACCAGCTCTTGAAGTATTGGGGCACTTGCTTTAATTTTAATGTATTTCTTTTCCCACATAGCCTGTACAGAGATATTCCCTAGTTAGAACTGTTCTTCCACTACAAAAATGTTCACTTTTCTTAATTTGTTTTTTACCACTAAACTCCATTCCTGTCACTAGAGGGTCTTCTAACAAATTATCAGGAGCTCAAGTCAGTTTAAATCATGAGTAGGAGGGTTTAGCCATTGCATATATATTTGTGCTTTTAGTTTCCACTGGTATGAGGATACAGCCCCACTTGTCAGTGAGGGGAACGAGCTGGTTTGGCCACTGGGAGTCCCTGGGTGGCTGTCAGTGCAGGGTGGCTCCTGTCGTGGACCTGGCTGCAGCTCATCATCTGTGGGATGTCCAGCTGCCTCCCTCAGTGGGAGGTGGACACACTTTGTGTCAGTTCTCATGTTCTCATCAGGGTCAGGCCAAGGTGAGACTCTTCACCTGTTCTCTGGGTTTTTGTATTTTCTGTGTATGAGCATATTTTGGGCCTTCTCTCCCCATGTGAATTTATCATTCAGAGAAATGGCATGATGGTGATACCTGTGCAGTGGATTCAGTGGGTGTGTTTAAATGCTTAAGAAGAAAATCAGCTGGTGCATGATTTCCCTTTTCCCCTTAAACATTAATTTTTTCTAGTCTGGACCAAAATTCCTAAGAGTCACAAAATCTCTGAGAGTACTTTCCCCTTGGCTTTATATAACAAAAAATTTCAGTCACTTTTACTTTCTTAAAGGTAGGTTTCAAAGTATTTTTGCCTTATTTGGTGTGATTTCTGTTGCTTTAAAGAGAAGTGGATAGAAAAAGAAGATACGTTTGGGTCGTGGGATTTGAAATCTTGGTGTGTGTGTGTGTATGAAACACGTGTACACACAAAAAGGGTGCATTTCCTTTCCTGTGGGGTTTGGGACCCAACCCTACATTACTTAAATAGAAATCCCGTGTTGTACTTGTCTCCACTAAATTTTGTCTTTGAAATTCCCAGTGAGGAGACTGAGGGTGTTGCTGGCATCCTGATCTCTGTCACATGGAGTTGGCTTCATGTGTGCTTGGGTGGCATGACCATAAAAACACAGTTCTGAGCTGGCCTCTCCATGGCTGTTGGTGCTGCTGGCTGGGCTGTGATGGTGGCAGCAGGTACCTTCACTGTGCACATTCAGGTTTTTCACTGCAGTGTTACTGGTTAATATCACAATTTATAAAAAAAAAAAAAAAAACAATAAAAAAAAAAAGAAAAAAAAAAAGAAAAAAAACACATTATAAATTATGCACAACCTCTAAACTGTGTGAGGCTGGGATGTGCTGAATGGAGCTGGTGGTCCCCTCTTGGTCTGATTTGTGCTTTAGGTTTTGTAAACTCCACAGTCTTGAGCAGCTGACTTTTCTTTCACACAGATGTATCTGACCAAGGTATAACACAGCTGAAAAATTGTGCTTTGAGTGTTACTTTAATCTCAGCAGTTTTCAGTATAGATACCTTCTCCCCACCAAACCCTTCCTGGTTCATTTTAGATCATCCAGAATTATGATTTATAATGTTCTCTGTTGTGGGTATTTTACTGTGTTAAAAAAAAAAAAAAATCTGCTGCCCAGGCTGTTAGCTAGGTTGGGTTTTTTTGGGGTTTTTTTTGTGGTTGTTGTTTTGTTTTGTGGAAAGCAGTGGTAATATGTGTTTTTCCTTTGTTTGAAATGTTACACTGAATGTTTTGTAGGAAATTTTTTTTTACTGTGTTTTCAATAAAGGTAAAGTGTGATTTATAGCTGAGTATTGTGCCTTTTTTGTTATAAGCAATGAAAACATAAGAATCTGTGTCATTCTAAATTATCCAGTTATTGGTATGAATAGTTGTGTTCCTCTCTCTTCTTCCTCCTCCCAATTTAACCTGCTTTTGAGATTCTCAAATGGCTGTGCTTCTAAAATAGCTGAGGTAGGGAATGTGATGGAGATTCCTCTACATTGAGACATCACAGCCCTGTGTTTTAAGACAGGTGTGCAATTAATTTGAACCCTCTGCTTTAGGCCAATGGGGATTGTTTATAGCAAGGAGTGCTCATTATGTAATATAGAAATAATTTTCAATCGTTTAATAGTTTGACTGAAGGGCAGTTTTTACGTCTTAAACCCCTGACCACCATCCTTCCTAAACTGTCTGTAACTTAAACAGCTTCAGACTTTAAATTCCATTTCACAGGAGAGTTTAGGCTGTGTTTAAAGTTCAAGAATCATGTGGATGGAAGGGACCTGGAGATGTTTGATCCATCCAGCTGCACAGGATCAAACTTAGCTGCATTATGCCTGGTATTTAACCAGCCTGGCAGGGGCTATCTGTGATGTGATTGCTATGCTGTCTCTAGGGCAGTATATTCCAGTGTTTAATTGTCCAGGATTTCATAAATGTCAAATGTGAAGGGCCCTCGCCATGCTTTAAGCTTTAATTTTGTTCTCAAACATCCATAGTAAAACAAGCCTTTCTGCTTGCACCAGTTTTTTCCACACCTGAAAGGTTACATTTCGCTTTATTTTGTATATGAGGAGTGACCCTCAGTTCCCTCAACGGTTTTCTGGAGGCCTCTTATCCTTTTTGCTGTCTGTTGGGATGCTTATGTATTTTTGGAAATGCAGAGTTCAAGTGGACACAGAAACCTCCAAGCTTGAGCTCTGGCACTGCATCGTCTTCAGTACTTCTTTCTTTTTATTTTTTAGGGATTGCTTGGCTTGGGTTGTTGTTTTTGACAGACAGTGGGAGAAGAAGCATCTCAGGTGTCCTCAGTACAGATTTTTATGCCTTGAGTATGTTTCTGCATATTGCATATAGGCCTGGGCAATCTCATCTTCATATCTGAAGATACTCCCACAGGGGCTCAACAAAACAAATGCCCAAAAGGATTGCTTTTATAGAATTTAATCATCTTGAGTGCAATCCCAGCTCACTGTGGCCACTTTGTCCTAATGTACCCCTGTATCTGAGAGCTCTGCAGAGGCTCACACAAGTCTTAGACTTGTCTGTGTGTCTATGCCCATAAATATGTGCAGCAGTTTTAAGGGACATTTTGACATCTGTATCATGACCAGGCAACAGGAACCTTTCTTTCCATGCATTTCCTGTGAGAGAAAACCTGATAGGAAAAGGAGCCATTTTTTTTTCAGGGAGTGTGGGTTGGGAAGTTGGAGGCGAAGCAGCAGCCTCATGGCACCTGAACACTTTCCTGTTGTTTCATTTCACTTTTCTTTAGTAGCTTTTCTCTACCAGCACATCCAACTGCAAGAAGTCACTCTTCATGGCATGTATCAGAGTATTTAAAATTAACTTTTCTAGACCCAAAAAATCAAGAACCCAAATCTCACAAAAATCCCTCAGACATGATATGGAAAACTCACTAAGAATTTATATAAAAACTTTGGGTTTCCTATATTTTCTGCTAACATTCTCTCATATTCTTTTTATTCTGTGGTCTGATTCACTGCTAACTGAGAGCTGTTATAACTTACTGTGTTCCCAATTGATTCCTAGCACAACAGGATATTGAAAGGATGTATTCATTTGTCAGTAGAAACTGGATTTGTTTCCTTGCTAGTAACTGATGATTTATCAATGTAACAAAAAAGAAAGAAGTTCCCTGAGAGCCTTTGTGTTGTGGATGTGTTTAAATCCCCAAGGGATGGGAAAAGCAAGAGCCCCTCCTGTACAGTGTGAGAATTCTTTGTAGCAAAGGGCAGGTTGGGAACCTGGTACTTCCCCCCACGAGTGCTCAGTGTCAAGAAAGAAACATCCCAGTCTGTCTCATGCAGACGTTCACACTGACCTTCAGTGGTATGTGTAAAACAAAAAACAAATAAACAACAGTCCCACCACAGGCCTCCTCCAATATTTACACTTTGTGGTCTCCAAACAATCCTGACTGATGAAACTGTGTGCTCTCTGAATGACTTGTGAAACGCTGCTTATATCTTTAATATTTTAGTGTGATTAGGTATTTAGTCAATAACAACCCTAGTGAGTTCTACATGACTATTGTTAGCTGGGTTCTAGAACTGAATCTCTGCATTGCAATTTTAACTGCCCTTACTGATTTCATATTAAAATCTGCCTTCAGGAAGAACAAGGTAAGATTACACCCAACTCTTACATAATCTGGGGTTTCTGTTCACCATCCAGTAAAGGCTGATCCATTTGAAAACACTTCTGGCCTGAGTTATGCTTGGTCTTAATTCATAGTGGTATCAGACTGGGCCAGACCTGATCTGATTTTATAACCAAGTGAGCTGGAACTGTAAAAAAAAAAGAAGAGGAAAACTCTTTTCCTGCATGAGACAGGGATCTGTGAAGTTCCTCTGCTGCTAAGACACTATCTTCTTTGAGCTACTCCTGGATTTTCTGTAGTATGACCTGACCCAACTCATATCCATCAATCAGTAAATAAAGTCTAAGGTTGGGAAGAAGTGTAACTGAAATTTAACCCGGAATTTTTCCTAACTGGTAAATCAGTGTGAACTATCAATGTGAATGGAGAGGAAATAATCATTTTGAATAATTTGTCGTGTTCTAGGATGTAAAAATGAAATTCTGCTCTGTTTTAATCCATAATACTGAATAACTTTTTTTTATCCTAGAATAATTAAAACAGGGCAATTGAATTTATTGCTGAAAACACCATACCCTGTGTATTTTATGTCTGAGGCTTCCTAAAGCTTGGACAGAGTGGCATAAAGTGGCTGTGCAGTCCCCCCTCGGTATGCAAAGCTGCATCAGTCATCTGTACAGCAGCACAAGACTATGATAAAATGAAACGATGAAACAAAGCACCGAGCTGAACTTTGTCCACGGGGGAAGCCTTTTTAAGTGATCCAATGTCAGCAAGTTGCTTACTAATGTGTTGACTTATGGCAGCCCTCAAAAGTAAAATGAAAAGGCTGGAATTTACAGCATATCAATGAATCAGTTGATAAGCTTTTACTGGTTTAATATCCTCCTAGTTTTGCTGCTTGGAGCCACTTCAGGTTAGCAACAGAATGTTTACCATCTCTGTGTGATAAAGGAAGTCAAAGGACTAAACAAATTCCAGGACCATTATACTGTTTGGTGAGATTTAAATTAAAATCGTTGGGAGAAATCATGTGGAGGGGGGAGGAAGAAACTAAAGTCAGCTGCATCATTTCACAATGACTTACCTTGCTTCCTAAACAATGGCAGGATTTTTAGCAGAGCTGGAGATAATGTAATGCATTAGAAAAGATTTAATTGCACCAATAAAAGGCTATACCACAATTAAATGACATACAGAGTGACATTTATAGGTAGGATCAAAGAAATTCACTACCTAACATGCTGAAGCAACACCCTGCTCTCTGTGTATAGGAGTGCTAAAAAGTAGCCTACTTTGGTTTCAGTGACCTTTCTTATCTCCTTTGATCTAGATTATTAAAAATTTCAATGCCAGGTGTAATAAGGGCTACCGTAGCACCCTGAAACAAGCAATATGTGTCCTTCCTAGGACTAATATTTCAGACCTTGTTTTTTATTTTGTGATATTTATTTAAGCATATGAAACTTGGCATTTAACCTTTGTGATCCTTCCAGAGGCAGCAGGGTTATTAAAAAAATAGTTGTTTTTTTTTCTTTTTTTGCTATTGTGATTCCATTTGATTATGCTAATGTTTAGGGTGTGATATTTTAAAAGCGCAGTTCAGTTTTGAGAAGCAAATTTTATTTTAGAAAAGCTTTTTAGTGTCTGGAAATGGATTAGCTCCTTGTGAAAACTTTCTTTAATGTTTTCATTAACCAACACTTAAAAGTGTAAGAGCGAACAGCAGGAAAACTCATCTACAATTTCCACTTGAAAACCACGAAGAAAAACAAGTGCAGGTCCTTTAATCACAACTTGCACTAAATTTATTCAAACCTGGCTAATCGTTATGAGAAGACTTTATACATTTATTCTCAATAGAAGGTGGAAAAGCAGTGCCCATTTTGTAAAATCCTGAGGTGTTACATGTGAGAATGGGCTCCTGCTGAGGCCTCTCTGTGGGCACTGTATGGAATGAAGAGCTACCCATGGATTTTGGGCAGCCCAAACCAAAGACACAGACCCTAAAGCCAGCCCAGGGGAGGTGCCTTGGAGGGTGGCTGCTGTAGCCATCTCAACTTCAGTGAGAGAAATTTTGACCAACGACGTTCAGCTGCAGCTTCCAGGTTATTTGGGAGCCTTCTCCAACCTCTTTTTGCTGAGCCCTTGTTTCATGGCTTAGCATGGACTCCTGGGCCCATAGGAAACGGGCAGCTTTCTTGGGAAAGAAGCCTACACCTGCTTCCCCAGACTTCCAAACAGCAGGAAAATTGAAGTGTTGCTGTTTTCTGTTCCAGTCACGCTTCTTGAGGACAGTCACAATCCACTGACAGGTTAATTTATTCCGAACTTCAGGGCTCGAGCACTTTTAGTGTAACATCAGTGTTCTTCGGTCACCTTCATGTTCTTTTTCTCTGCTAGAGGGAAGGATTTTGCATTGATTCTAAAGAGGAGGAATGAGCAGACTGACAAAACAACTGAGTGGCTCCAGTGCTGCCTGTGTAGTATGAGTGAGGAGTAAGTGAAAGGGGAGGGAGCTGCTATTCAGGAGTTCTGGTTTAAGGAAGCTGAATTGCCCCAAGGAATCGAATACAACAGAATTTTTTGTCAAATGATTGCTTTCTGAATTTTCTATTCTTAGGAGGCACTGCTTCTCTCAAGTCTTTATACTCTTTTCTAGCAATCTATCCCCTCCAGGAAGCTTGAATTCTGTAAGGCACAATTCTGCTCAAGAAGCAGGAACTCAAATTTATATAATTTAATTATATGAAACAACGATTTAATGCATTTTTTTTAAACTTTAACTTTTGTACTGCGTTCATTCTGTCTAGTTTCTTGCTGAAAGTGTAATGCATTAGGAATATTATTAAGAAATAAATATTGTCTGGTGACACACCTGTAGCAGAAGTAAGGCTTACCTAATTAATTCAGTTTAACTCAGCATGCCCCATCATGTATTACTCTGGTCTGATACTGCTCTTTTCTACACATAGGACAATTTTTTACCTGTAAATTTTTCAAAGGTTTTCAGGCATGACTAAAAAAATAATTATAATTACAATTACTTGCAGTATATTTAATTTTGTTGGTACAGATGAAACAGGCTAGATTACAGAATGTAAAAACAGTTAATTAATCAATCCATGAATACTCTAAAACATGCATATTTTTAAAATTAGTGTCAATAGAATTTTACAAGTCTCTGCATATTTACATGAAATTTCATGGATTAAATTATTCCAGGTTAGTATACTCCTGTATAGCTCAGTTAAAAACTATGTTTTCCCATATGCTTTTAAAAAGGGTTATAAAAAAGAATAAAGTGCTTCATCATAAAATAGCTTTAAATTATATTTCTTACCATAAAAATCTGGAATCAAAATTACTTTTCAAGATGATTACATTTAATTCATTAAGATATTCACTTAGGTAGTTTAATTAAAAGACTCATGTATTATGTGCTTGAATAGTTATATAAAAATGTACTCCCTTAATGGACTACATGGGAACATGAATGCAGCACCTGTTTTTTCAAAGGAAAAAAAAAAACCCAGAACCAAACCTGACTTTAAAGCATTCTAACAGCTGAAAAGGAAAAAAATGCTGACAAGAAAAATTCTGAAAGGTCATCAGTTTCTTTCTGTGATTACTGTGATCTTTTGAGTGAAAATAAAACTAGTCCATGAAATTGTGAATTTTGTATTAACACATAAGGTGGCAGAAAGCAAGAAATGGCAACTGCTACTGACTGGAGGAAAAAAATTATAAAACAAACCTTTAAAATGAAATCTGATTAATTTTTCTCCCCTTTCCCAACAGAGACATTGCATTTCAAGAGGTGATACACATCAAATGCAGCATTTCTCACATACAATAAAACAAAAGAGAAAGTAAGTTGACAGGCTACAAGAAAACTTCACCTTTATCTGACCTAAATTCCCACCAAATGCTGATGATCTCCATCCTGACAAAAGATACAGAGTTGGACAAAAAGAAGCTGTTGGCTCTGAGAGGAAGGGGAAACTGGGAAAGGAGTGAAGGCCAGAACAAGCCGTGAGCACTCTTGAGCTGGCAAACACAAGAGGATTAATGGGCAGCAGCCAGCTGGAGGGAAAGCTTTCAGATACAGTGGCTTTTTCCCTTGAGGGAGGAAAGCTGAGGAAACACCGAGGACAAAAAGAATTCCAGAGGCATTTGCCTTTTTGTGCCAAATCTGAAGTAACCTTTTTAATGAGTGCTGTCTTTTGCTCTCTCTTGTGAAGTTTCAGACTTTCAGGGTAGCCAGAAATTGGCAGAACTTTCCAGACCTCTCCCACCTGTCTGTGGACAGACATTCACCTCCAGCTAATGCTCATATAAAAAGAAGTAAAGACCCTGTATCTAAGGTTGGATTCACAACGCAGACTTGGCTGTGAAAAGTCTTCTAAAAATTTTAAAAGGGGAACAGGCAGGAAAACGACCCTAAAATGCGGTGTGGAAAGAAACTTGTAAGCAGTTGGGATAATTCTTCTAATTATCATCACCTCTCTGTTCCATCAGTCACTTGTCTCTTTTGCTTAATATTTTCAAGTTGATTGATTAGAGAATGTAATAAAGCAGGATGTATTTATGCCCACACTACACACATGCATTGAGCAAGCCATCAAGGTAAAATGCAGGCATTTCATCAGCTAACCTGAGGAAGTGACTGTCTGGCATTGGGTGTACACCTACTTTGTTTTCCAAATAACCGTTGTACTACACTGAAATTAACAAAACTTTTGAGAAGACAAAAAATATCTTGAATTGTACAAATGGAAAATGTTTACTTGATGAATGAAGACCAGAATCATATCTAACAGGAGTTTATTTGAAGCAGAAAATAGCCCATACCTGCTTTGCAGGAGCAGATAGAAAAGCTTCTCTACTGTCCTAACTTCAGAAGTGCATAAATACTACCAATCTTCCTCTACCCTCTCATATTCAAAATATTATCAGAGTTGGCCACTGAGTTGATCCACTTATTAAAAGTTAAATAATGTCGAAAAGTAGAATCTTTTCTTCACTTCCTCCAGCTGATGACTGTCAGCAGTTCCTCAGGAAAAGGAAACAAGTAAATACAATTGTGAGTGCACACAGTTATTCACTTATATTTGTACCCTGGGTTGAATTGCAAATTCTTCCCTGAATGTTGCACAATGCTGTATGGATTTTCCATGCTGTGTGGATCTCTTTACCCATTCTTCAGCAGGAAGTGACAAGGTAATTGTCACTCCTAATTTCTGAGCAACAGTAACTGCAAATCACTGAATAAACCCCATTGGCCTTTACAGACAATGGATTTTCTTCATATGAAATTCGTTAATAAAGCATTTACGTAGAAATACTTTATACAGATACTTCATGTAAATCTATCATTAGACAAAGCACCATCAGGCAATTTCTTACTGGTAAGTAGCTAAAGGGGTACAAGAGAGCTGGAGAGGGGCTTCTGACAAGGGCCTGGAGAGATGGGATAAGGAGGGAATGGCTTCAAACTCTAAGAAGGTAGGTTTGGATTAGATATTGGGAAAAAATTCTTCCCTGGGGGGTGGTGAGGCCCTGGCATAGGTTGCCCAGAGAAGCTGTGGCTGCCCCATTCCTGGAAGCATTCAAGCCCAGGTTGGATTGGGCTCTGAACAACCTGGGATAGTGGAACGTGTTCCTACCCATTTCAGGGAGTTGGAACTGGATGATATTAAGGTCCCTTCCAACCTAAACCATAATGGGTTAGCTATTCAGTAATTATCAGAACCTCTTTTACATACAGGATTTATAAAGGATTTTTTAAATGTACATTTTTATTTGCTGAGTAATTTGAATTTATTTTGATATTTTTTCAGAGCCTTTAAACTGGGATTAATGAAAGAATGTAGCAACAACATAATTTACAATAATCAGTATAAATAAAATCTCAGAACTGTGATGTTTTCCTCAGCCTTGCATCTATGCATTCTTAAAAAATAAAAATTAACAAGTAGTATAATAAAGAACTGTGACAGCTGCTGCAAAATTCTGAAGTTTAATGAGGCTATGACATAAGAAAGAGAAATAAAGATCATGGAGAGACAGAGATGGTCACAAGAGGCCAGTGATACTGTCAGTGCATGTGAATGTGAGGTGCCTTGCTGCATGTACATGTGGAACCTCTGCTTTCTTAAAGAAGGAATCAGTGAAAATACCTACAGTGCTCCTGCCTGCCCCCACAAGTGCAGATAAAGTCCAGTGTCAGTAGCTCAGCAGTAAAAACCGTGGGCTAGCAGAGTATAGGTATCTATCATCTTTGAAGAGCAGAAGAAGCTGCTTGTGATGATTGACCAGAATCCATGGAGAAATGTCCAAGGTTTGTGTAACAAGCCACAGTCACAGTTTGTGTAACTTGAGTCCGTGAGGAGGCCTTAATAGTATTTGACAAAACAAGAAAGGAAGAGAGACATACAATAATTAAAGCAATTACAATTCAAGCTGATGGCACCTAGATGAGAGTTTCAGTCCTAGATGGGAAGGAAAGGGTAAACTCTTGCATTCATACCAGAATCTGCATAAATCTGACATTACTATGCAGCACATATTTGTTCTGTGTAAGCTTTCAAAACCCCCATCAGGCAGCTTGTGCAACCAAACCCATTTCTCATGAAGAAAAAAGGAATCCGAGCAAATCGTGGGGTTTTGGTGATCCCCTTGCTCAAGTATCTCATTATTCTAGGGCAGGATTTGTTAATTTTTGAGGCAAAAATTCTCCTTCTGAGCTCATCCATCTACAGATGTATATCATTAATCATCTTAAATTTGTGCAAACTGCCTTTGATCTTTTAAAAGAACTTTTGAGAGGTACTAAAGGATCTATCAGGAGTACTGTCTTCCCTTTAGTTGAACTATCTGCATAACCTACTTCCTTGTGAGGTCATGACATCCTTCAAACATAAATCAATTTGTGTCTGTGTTTTAGAGCAACAGCTTTGAGGTTTCAACTGGGTCAGTTTATGCTTTTGGAACAACATGGGGGGTGATTTCCCTCCATGTGGTTTGGTTCACCCACTTTATTACTTTTGTTTTCCCATTTTGATAGCCCAATATAATGAGTGATGGCCTCTGTGATGAGAAAATCTGGGTAGATGGGGAGTGAGCAAGAAAGCAAAGCAGTGACAGCATGAAAGACATATCACAACCTAAAAAATGCCTGCTCTTGATTTCTTTCCAAGCACTGTGGTCAGAGACTGTTTTAAGGAAGAAAATGAGATGGCTTTGTGGAAAGCCTTCTGTATATCCCCAGGGTAAGAGAAAATGATTATTTAAAGCCTTCACAAATGGATTATTTAAACTGCCAAACAAGAAGAGATTGGCAGCAAAGATGAACTTCTAAATAATACAAACCAGATGGGACACTTGTGAGAGACAGGTTGTACAGGTGTTTAGAAGGAAAACTTTTATACAGCAGTTTCTGAAGGAAAGCTGGCAGCAGGAGACACAAGGAGGGATGTGTGGTCAAAGCAAAAGGCTGTGTAGAGATATTCTCAAAGCAGTACTTTGAAAAAATACAAGCAATGAAAACCTACATTTATCACAGCTCAAGACATCCAAGAATTTTCATTCTTATGCATCAAGTTTAAAAGCCCAACCCATTTACTGACACACCCATTTACAACCAAGTTATTTATCCTAAAATGAACCTTATTGAAGTGTTTATATGTATTAACCTTTAAACTATTACTGCTGGATTTTAGGAATCAAATCCCTATTGAAAAAAATGAATGACACAGACTTGTAAAACTTTTTTGATTACCCATAAACTCAAGAAGAAAATGTTGCTTTTCAAAGTTGTTTTACAGTTTTAATGTTTGAACCACACAATCCTTATTAAGAAAGAGAAAGTTTGACAGATGCATTTTGAAATAATATGAAAATATTGGTGAAAATACTACAAAGTAAAACCCAGGAACAACTGAAATTTTAAAAAACATTTTAGCACAATCTTTTGAATCTCTTGCACAAACATTTGTGTAGGAAAATTCAATCAGTGCTGTGATTTAAAGAGAAAATACTTAGACTTTCTAATAATGGCAGAAAACATGTTCACACCTGGGCTAAATTTTTTCACCTCAGCTTTAGCTTCCATAATCAGTCATTATTGATGTTCATTTTAACCCAAATACCTCTTTTCTGTTTTTTCCCCTTCTGTCCTCTCTTCATAATGAACTAGAGAGAAAAAAATCCTCCCATCTTTAGAACTATAACCATGTAAATATAGTGCTAATTACCTCATCCTATGACATTTGTCCGTCACTGCTTACACTCACTTTTGTGCACTATCTGAAGTTTCCCTCTGAATCTTCATTCAAGATGTGCTTGGCTGGAACATCCCTGGTTTAATGGGTTCCCTCTGGAGCTGGGACTACTGTGACAATTCCTGTGGCAAAGGCAACCTGATCTTTAGAGATGCCAAAGGGCATTTCCATGAAAAAGAATAAATGTAACAGTTATTAATGATGATGAAAGTTTATTATGCTCAAAACTGCAAATTTTGGAGCCAGAAAGTTCTTTAAGTAGTGCCCAATCAAGGCAACAGAAAGGATGGACACAAGAAGATGTTCATGGCAGAAATACTGCTGAAAGTTTTAGAAAAGAGAAAAATTTTTAGAAAAGGGCTGAAACTGAGGCAAGAAGCACATTTGCTCTCCTGGTCTGTTAAGATGCTCCTTGGCTTTGTTTTTCTAAGGAATATCGACTGTCGCTGCTCCACAACTGTATTATTATAACACTATTTAAAAGTGAGTTTTCTCACCAGGCATCATTCCAAGCCCTCACATCTGTGACTTTTATCTTGCTGCATGTTTGCTTCTAAATTTGAAAAAGGTATTTAGCTACAGGTGTTAATTCTTCCCTGGTTTAGCCCCAGGACCATTGTAAAAACAAACCTTTTTAACTTTGAGCAAAGCTGGGTATATATTAACAAAGAATACATTGCATGCAGCATTATTAAATGTCTTTTTACAGAATAAGGAATAAACCAGGCCATTTCAAATAGACTTTAAAAAATCATAATGCTAGAACCTTCCCTCAGCTAAATACAGTAAGAAAATCACTGATGTTTTATTGAGAGTAAAATGTAAAGAAAGTTCTGGCATTCAATAAACATTAAAAATACTTCTTGCTTCTAATGAAGAATATGTCTTCATCAAAATGCACTAGTTTCACCTTTTTATTTTCCTTGTCACAAAAAATAAGTTTTTAAATGCATTCAGATATGAAAAGATACATTTAAGCCACTGATGGCAATCCCATTTTTTTTACCTAATGGCTTAAACTGCTGAATTTTGATAAATTTTAAACCAAGACACCATGCTGGCTAGCATTAAATCATCTTCTGACCAGAAAGCTTAGCTTCCACATTTTAGCTTATTTTAAATAAAAACAAAAATTACAAATCAAATAAAAAATTAGGTTTGCCTAATATCTGCTGTGGAGCACTGGGGTCAAGAAGATACTATTTTTCTGCATTTTCCTTGCTTCAGTGTGTTTTTTTCTCAGTCCAGTAGCTACTATTATTCTATTTTATTCACGAGATTTGCAAATTTCTTGGTATTCCTTGTCCTTGACTTAGAAGAATCTGTTAATAAAAGATCCTGCAGCTGATGATTGTGTATTATATGATCCTGTAGCTCAACTGCTTGGAGGAGCAGCTCTAAAAAGCAAAAAAACCACAATCAATCTTGAATAATTATTATTATAAATGATTTAAAACAATATATATAGTAAATTAAAAGATACTTTGCACTTAGCCAATATTTTTGAGTTGTTAAATGCTTTTATACACATACAACTCCAGTAGTTGAAGCCTAACATGCAATTACTGTAATATGAAATTTAAGATTGATGTTTCTGACACATCCTAGTTTTAACTTATAAAAAGTCAAATGAAATCTTTGATTTATCATTTATATTAAATAAAATAACAGTAATTTTAAAGTTTTAATTACTAAGCTCATAATTATTATATTCAATAAACTCATTATGAACTATAAAAGTTTGGCATGCCCAAACACATTTTAATTTCATATAATTAAAAACAATCCCAAAGGCTAATTTTGCCTTCCAGAACACTGAATATAAACAGGAATGTGTTATTTTTATACAGGGAATGGGCTTATCTGCCTGTTCTTCCATTTCTCCCCACGCTCATGCTTTATTTTAGGAAATGTGAAATAGTACTGTGTAAAATCATGATGTTCCATTGGTAATCTTTATCTGATTTGACAAGAAAAGTGTTCCTTTACAAGAGGGCACATACAAGGACTTCAATAATGTTTCTCAGGAGTAGCAGCCTCAATAGCAGATAAGAAACCTACAATTCCTGTTGTTTTCTTCTCAGGATCCCGTGGAAAAGAGCTGAACATCTGTTCTAGGTGCAGAAGTTAACTTTGGATCCATAAATCACCAAGTCTGTCCCTTTCCTGGCAACCTCATTTCACCCTCAGTGTGCTGCCTGTAATGTACAGGGAATGGATTCAGCTTCTTGTAGACAGGGAAGCCTGTGGTACCCAGAGCAGGGATGATGCTGGCAGCCCCTTTGGGCAGGAGCTGCTCCACTGTGGTCCCAACATCCCCACGGCTACAGCAGGAGGATGTGCCTTGGTGCCAGAGTGGAGGCTGCAGGGGACGAATGGCACCCCTCAGCTGTGACAAACAGCTGACAGGGCTGCTCTGACTCACCCTCACAGCAAGGTTTAGGTTGGAAGGGGCCTTAAAGATCACCTTGTTCTATCCCCCCGCCGTGGCTGGGGACACTTTCCACTATGGCAGGTAGCTCAGAGTCCCTCCCAACACTTCCAGGGATGGGGCAGCCACAGCTTCTCTGTGCAATCTGTGCCAGGGCCTCACCACCCTCTCAGTAAAAGATGTCTTCCCAATATCTAAACTAAATATACCCGTTTTCAGTTTAAAGCCATTCCTCCTTGTCCTGTCACTCTGTTCCTTTTCCTGCTGTCCCTTGAAGCTGCTCTAAGGGCTCCCTGGAGCCTTGCCTTCTCCAGGCTGAACAACTCCAGCTCAGTCTGTCTCCATAGCAGACATGCTCCAGCCTCCTGATCATCTCTGGATATCCTCTGGACTCACTCCTCCAGGTCCCTGTCTCTCTCCTACCCCTGGGAGCCCAGGTCTGGATGTTTCATTGTGTGGTTGCTCCTTTGCCAGCACAGCCAGCCCTGCACTTCACCCACAGCTCAGGATGGGGTGACCAGAGGGGCTGGGGCTGTGCTGCAAAGATGTGGCACTTGGGGACATGGTTTCGTGGTGGACCTGGCACTGGTCAATGGGTAATTGTTGGACTCATTGGTCTTACAGACCTTTTCCATGATGATTCTTTTAACTCTTGTCCCTTTTCCCAGCACAGCCCCGGTCCCACAGCCCCACACAGGCTCTGAGGGAAAGGTGGCAGTGGGAGGTGCTGCTCCCTTCTCCTCAGAGGGTGGAATGGAGCCTCTCCTGGCTTGATACCAGTCACTGCCCATAGGGAAGCCCTTGGGAATGATTATTTTCTGATTTTCCCCACCCCTTCCTGTATCTCCCTACACAGTGTTTTCTCTTTTAGCTCCATGTCTGTGTGATGCTGTGGGGGTTAGTGAGCATTAGTTGTGTCCCTCCATGTGCATTTGGATTTGAAGACTTTTTTTGCTGCGTTTTTCAATTTTTAATGTGTATTTTTAATCTGGCAGATAGTAAGATGGGAGGCAGGCCCTGTGATTATCAGAGATTTACAGAATTGTTTAGGTTTGAAATGACTTGAAAAGTCCAGCCATTAACCCAGCACTGCCAATCCACCACTGAACTGTGTCTAACTGCCACATCTACACATTTTTAAAAACACTTCCAGGGATGGTAATTCCACCACTTCCCTGGGCAGCCTTTTCCAGTGCTTGACAACCCTTTCAGTAAAGACATTTCCCTAATTTCCAGTCTAAACCTCCCTTGACCCGACTTGAGGCTGTTTTCTCCCATCCACACTGTTTGTTACCTGGAAGAAGAGACTGACCCTCACCTGGCTACACCCTCCTCTCAGGTACTTGTGGAGAGCAATAAGGTCCCCCCTGAGCCTCCTCTTCTCCAGGCTCTCCATCCCGAGCTCCCTCAGCTGCTCCTCACAGCTCCAGAGCCCTCAGCACCTTCCTCACTGCCATTTTGGGTGACCTGTGTCTTTGCCAACTCTATAATAGAGTCACCACTAAAAGAAAAGGAAAGATTTATAAAGAGGGCAGATGAATGGTATCCATATGGATCAAACAAAGATCTTTGCCCCCTGGTGTCCCATTTCTGTCCAAGGCAAGAAGGAAAATGTCTCAGCGATGTGATAAGAATGTGTTTAGTACAGTATCAACTTCTTCAGGGACTTCCTACATTTTAAAATGTGCTTTCCTGAGCCAGAAGCACTGCCCACGTCTTTGAGTAGTACTGATGTGTTTCTTTCAGATCCAGAATTGTGCAAAAGTCCTTCTAGGAGGAGTGTAGGCTTCTTCTGGCCATTTTACTGGAAATTCTCACTTAGTGGCCCTTTATTTTTGACAAGGAGAACAGGCACAGATGGTGCCTCAAATCCAGGTGTACAGTTTCTTTGATTTTTTTTGGGTTTAAATACTTGTCAGAGTCCTTCTCAGCTGCTGCTGACTTGAGAGATTTGTTTTCCTGTGGAAGTGACATTTTCTGAGCAAAAGCAGTGAGGCTGTCCTGAGAATAATCCTTTGAGCAGCATATAAATGGAGTGATTAATCCACTAGATGCACTTCTCTGTAATTACAAGTAATTACTTTAAAGTCAAATCTGCAAATGAGAATACCTCTCTGTACGGTAGGGGAAGATGTAAAAAGCAGCTGAAGTGGCTATCTTTAAAATGACATTAAATCACTGATTGTTTCCAAAGGCAGGAATAAAAAGATAAAATAGCAGTTTTTAAAGCGAACTTGCAAGTAATTCTGATACCAAATATGATGAAGGGATATTTTTATGGTACAAACTTTTAAAGATTTTCAGCGATAAATTTTAACTAGGAAATAAAGTAGAAAACTCGATTTTCTGCTGTCTAAAATTTAAATGAAATGGTAAATGCTGAAATATTTTCAAAACTCAACCCACTTATGTGTAAGATATCAATATGGATATAAAGATACTGAATATTACCTCTCTTGTGCCTATTTCAGTTTCAGTTTTATGCTTGAACATGATTCAGCATTCTCATGTCTTTTCGGTATTGCATTACATTTTTTTTTTAGAATCTATGACTGACTTTCCTGAAGTTGCTAATAAGCTTCTTTTCAAATAATGCTTGCCATCTCTTCTATTTCTGTCATTCCTCATTAAGGTGATCCTATACACATGTATGCTTAATTAAGGCTTTTTGTTAAAATAAGCCTTTAATCCAGAGGTGCTGGGCCTTAATTGAAACTCAGAGAAGATTAGTGTCATCTCTTATTTTGGTTTTCACTTTTACTGTACTTCCTACTGCTTCTAAACTAAAATGCCTGTGTTAGCCTTAGCTGATACATGGCCAGGAAGAAATTAAAATTCATGCTGCAGTCTTCTGGAGAGTAACATGCCTTAGTAATTGCTATTTCTTATTAAGTGCCACCTTTTACCAAGAGCCTCCACTTCAAATGCAAAAGGTTGCTTTAAACACTCCAAGGACATTACCATAATGAACACGCTGCCTGTTTTGAAGGTGACTAATAAGTGACTAATGATACCTGGTTTTGTCCAGGTGTATAATTTTTAAATGTTAATTGTGTGTTTAAATAGTGCTGAAATCTCGGATCTGTGTCGAATGATTGACTTTTACAGAATCCTTTATAAGAAGACTTAGGAAAAATGAGAATTTTTAGCTACAGGTTAGCTGCACTTAGTTGAGGTACTGTATGTTGCAGTAAATTTTAGAACCTTTTTGGAGGAGTAAGAGACAGATACAACAGCTTCTGGTCTTCTAGAATGAAATGCATCTGCCAAAGAACCAATCTATTTTCTTCTTGTAGAGCTGCAACTGGGCATGTTACTGCTAATTAGCAGAGGCAGGTGGCCTGCTGTCATCAATGGCAGGAGAGTAACTTTTCAGGAAGAGCGATTAAATTGTGGGCTGAATAAATCTGATACAGAAACAGCAAAGGTTTGAAGCACACTTTTTAGTATAGCAACTGTAATGAGCTTCACTGGGATCATGTCTTTACATCATGAAATTTGCTGCCTGTGATGTGTTTTTACACTTAGTTGTGTTTAAAAAGCGTGATAAAAATATGAATATAAATGAAAGGAAAGCAGATTTATTGTGCAGTTTGGTTCAAAGTGAGTGGTGGTTTCTAAAAGGATGTGTTATAAAAGTGTGACACAATAAATAAAGCCTGTGTAGAGAGCAGTGAGCATGGTGAGGGCTCTACCTGCCCTGAGCTTATCCCTTAAAGAGCTGTTAGGTGGGATTGTCCCAGGGGTGCTGGGCTGTGTCTCTGCCTCCCAGCCAGGCTCCAGGGTGTGGACATTGGCTAGGATGGGTAAGCCTTTGCATGTGGACACACACAGATTTTTTTCTCCCACTGGAAATCAGGACATTTATGCTACTGGAAGCCTACAAGCCAGTATTTCTCCAGAGAGCCAAGTGCACTGCTGTCATAAACAATGAGACCTGAGTCTGAATGCATTAAAGAGGAATTCCAGCTTGAAATACTTCTGCTGGCTGAGGAGGGCAGGTTTTGGCAAATCTGCACGGGAGCCCTGCTTTTGACTCAGCAAAGAGCATCGTGTCACAGACCTTTGTAGCTGCCCTGTTAAAGGTTGTTTTAAGACAACTGAGTCAGACATCCTTAATTACAAAAATACAGTGTCTGCCCTTTCTTCTCAGGAGTTTGAAAATGTTTTACCTCATTTGCTCTTTGTTCACATACATCAAATACATATTTGTTTTGTACACAGGCATACTCTGTCATTGTTGTGTTATTTGCTTACTGTTTGCAATTTCAGTGAATTTCTGTTATCTTTCAGGCATGTGTTTCCAACTCAGTAGGAAAGCTGAGCAATTTTAGTTTGTAAGGGTAGTAGAGATGTTATTAGGTCTTATTTAAAGCCCTTAGAAGTCAGTGGAAAGGTTGTCACTTGTTTGTAGTTGAATTAAAAATCTGTTGTGTTAGGTAAATACTGCTTCCTGCTCAGGGAGAAAAAGCTTAATTTAAGGGTAAATTTGTATATATACATTATTAGATCAAATTAGATTCCAACCAAAATGTGATTTCACATATGACCATTGATTTCTTTGAGCATTTATCTTAGTGAAAGTCTTGTTACTCCTATAGTGCATGTTTAGTAAGGATTTATAGATATAATGTGCTCTATATTTGTGAAAACGTTACAATATTTTATAAGAATGCATTGGCAATTGCTTAGGTAATGTTGCTGTAAAAAGAACAAAACATCTTATTTGCAATATTTCTGATGCCTGTGCATTAACCATGTGTGGTACAAGGCTGTGTAATGTGGTAGACGTAGGAATGTTTAGTTTTGGCTCTGTTTATGAAGAGCTGAGAATGTTCTAATCTGTAATTTCCGGTCAGATTAATATTTGCTTAATGGAGACATTTTTCATTCTGTGGGAAATCCATTTAATTGTGTAAAGGGTGAATTTTCTGCAAATGTATCTCACAGAGTGCAAGCCTTGAATTCATACCATTGTCAGCATTTAATGCAGTGATATTGTTTCTTCCTTTCTGTTTGTCTTTGGAGAGGTCCTCATTCCTTGGGGATGAAGTAAAGCTCTGGTTCCATCATTGCAGCCTTCAGAATTAGCACTGAAAACACAGGATTCTTTCCCTGGGTTGATGAAAGTAATTTCTTGTTTGCTGTGTCAAACAAAGCATGCTATTTGTCACATTGTGGTTTGTGTATCTTTTAAGAAGCTTTCAACTTTGATCTGAGCCAAGGTACACTCAGTAGCACAGATGACAGAAGTAACAAACCAGTGATGTGCATTGTCATTCATACAAACTCTTTAAGTCAACAAATACTGAGACTTAGATGTAGAAAACCATACTGCTTTTGAGGGGGCTTGTGCATTCTTGTGAGAAAATGAAGACCTTTGCTTTTCTTGTTTCAGACAAAGGTGTGGAACAATTTATTAGTTAAGGATTCAGTTCAGTGTCTGCAATCAAAAGGTGCCTCATCTAGTCCAGATTCTGGCCCTTGCTGATATTTTCTAGGTAAACAGCTGCATTTAAAAGACATTGTGGAGATGGGCTCAGTAGCACATAAAAGCTGCTTTCTTCAAACTGTCATCACAGAGGTTTTCAGAGCATGCTTTTAATACTTCCAGAGCTGGTGTTTGTGTCTTTTTTCTCCCTCTTCCCTCCCTCTCTCTTTATGTTAAATGCTATTTGAAACAGAAGTGTTTTTTTAAATACAACTTTCACCTGCTTTTTACCTGATATGTCTGAAGGGAAATTAACCTTTTGTGTAGCAAGACTGAGGGCTAGAAAACTGTTTCACAAACTTAGCATTTTAAGAAAATTAAAAAAAAATATATACAAAAAAGCAGTACTTATGAAGGGTTGTGTGGTTCTGGAAGCTGCCACATGTTAAAACTTCCAGGTTTGAGGCACTCTTTGATCATCCACTTTGGCCTTCTAAGATTTTGCAAGGAATTTTATGCAGTTGTTTAGAACTTAAGCTATTTGTTTAAATCATATATATCAGAAAGCCATCCAGTTTTCATCTAGAAATTTCATAACTTGGAGGAGGTTGTTTGTTCAAGTGATTAATCATCGTGACTGTTACTCTTTATTATATCTCATTTGAATTTGTCTGGCATCAGCTTCTCACCATTTGCTCTTTTTATGCCTCTCTCATCTAGGCTGAAGAGCTCTTTATTAACTGGTATTATTTTCTCCTTGAAAAGATACATTAACGATGTCATCAAGTCATCCCTCAATTTCTGTTGTTAATCTGAATAGATTGGGTTTGTCAGACCACTCTTGAGACATTTGCCTAGGCCTAGGATATTTTCCTGTCTTTTTTTCACCTTGTGCATTACACAAATTTCCAACTTAAAAAAATTAAGATCCTTGAAAAATATAGTATTCTGTTCTTTGTTTCATC